TTTATGTATGTATACTAATTAGTGTGCACACCCTTTGAAATATTTCCGCTGCGAAGGCGTATCTTATTACACCTAATTCTGTTTTTACACGGTCTTTTTTTACACGATTTTGATTTAACACGGTTTGAAACTTAAAAATTGCATATATATAATTCTTTAGAGATGAGGAACCAATCACCTATTTTTGCATATGAGCAATGTCTTTTTTTACACGGTTGTTTCTGGAACCAATCTACCGTGTAAAAACAGACTTAGGTGCATTGTGAAATTTTCATTTAGTATTAAAGTAACTACAGTTTAATAAACACGCGTTTTATTACTAAAGTCCACTTCTCTTCCCTACACTCTTCCCTTTCTTCTCAACTTCTTAGCTCTAATGTATGTAAGATAGGATTTGTTTTCCTATTAGTTTATTATAATAATGTTTATTATTAGTTGTGGCTATTGGCTTAAGCATATAGGTAATCACAACGATAGAGAGTTCGTTTTACAACAAATTTGTTTGGATGGATTTTTCTTGGTAACCTGAATGCCGACTTTACTAATCATAACTTACTTCTCTTGTGGTAATATAGTTTTCCTTAGCTTATAATATAGCTGAAGTAATGCAAATAATGGTCGTTAAGTTGATCAACAATTTAAGGGAGTAACTTTTTCCTTCTATGCATAAAAGCTACTCTTTCATCAAAGGCAAACATTTTAGTTTATGGTTCAAAGCATAATTGCAAGCAATTAGCATATTTTATGGCTGACAATTTCAAGTGCGTTCTGCAGCTTTTTCTTATTCCTTTTGCCTTGTCATTGTCTTAATATGCTAATGCAAGTGAATTCTTTGCCTTATGACTGGAATTTTGCAATCATAAGAGACTGTGTTGAAACATTATATTGATTCACATTTTACCTATTATCGGCAATGTGGTGCTTGGTGGTTGCTTTTGTGGCTCGCTCGTATTTCGACTTGGCTGCGCATTCTATCTAGTCACTGTGTTCGCTTGAATGCGTCCTGAATGGTGCTTGGCACCAAGGATTTCAATTTTGTATTTTAATAGGGCTTTGGGAGCACATATAATATACTTACATACATACATACACATGTATAAATATATAGCCTAAGACTAGCGTTAGACTTATGCGCAATTAAACAATAGATGAGCTTGATTATTTCATTAAAATGCTTGACATGGAAAAATCGTCTAGTTGCCAAGGGACGAATAAATATACAACCATACATACATAAACAAATCAACATATAAAAGCTGTCTTGTGCCTTTATTCAGTAAACTCGTCTGTTTATATATTGGAGACAGAAGCATATGCATATACATATGTATACATAGTATGGAGATATGTGTGCCAGACATTAAAGCCATCAACAACAAGCGGCTTGTCGGGAGCAGAAAACTCAAACGGGCCTATAAATAAAAACTTGTACACATGTTTCATTTTAAACATTTCTGAATGTGTGCTGTTTTAGCTTACAATTAGTTTACTTTTGACTTTTGTTTGTGCCAATTTCAAGGCGATACAAGCAATGCAAACAAGCGTGAGAAAATGCGCCTACCATTCACATACATATACGTGTACATATAAGTACTATTGTACATATACACTTTCATACTTCAGTATATTTAGTGTTCCCGTAAGTATTATATAGTATGCAAGAATACAGACTACAAACAACAGAAATGTTCTGCTTGATTGTAAAAATAAACAACTTAGCCCACTAGACCAATTATACGTCTTGCTAGAGAAAGAATGCCAAATTCTAAGCAGGTGTTTGTTTTTACTTTCAATAACTTGCTTTTGATTTGTGCGTTGCACTCGAGCCATATTGTGGTCGGTAATTGGAAAAGCGCACTATTCTCGTACTCGTACCATTATACATTATACTTATATTTGATAAACAAGGTCTATTGGGGCAATGTTCGATTCTGTGTCGGCTGCTTTGTGTTCACGTTTGATTGACTTCTTAATGGATTTCTGACATTGTTTTGATGGTCGCAACTACAATATATATTTGTACAAGTATTTTTATAGAATTTTGTGCATATGAACACAATTGCTTGCATTTTCCTAAACTGTAAACAATTGAACAAATTTGCAAAACTGCAATAATAAATTGCATGTGTATTTTTTAAAATAATATAAACATACAATTGTTCAGCTTCAGCAATAATATTTTGTTTCGTTTGTTATTATTAAAATTTGATGTAGGAAGATAATTTCAATATTCAACATCATATCGGGTATGAAATGAATTGTCTACCTTTATCATTTGATCATTTAATTTAATCATTTTTAAAAAATGCAACAAACAGATCGAATCGGAAATTGTCTATAAATAACAATGGTTTTAAAATTAAAAAGTGTATCTTTTAAAATTTTTTATTTTGTGAATACATTTATTAAATTTTCCCAATATTTGAAAGACATGTTTCAATTTGCAATGTTAGATGTGTTTCTTATACGAATAATTGTAAGTCTAACTTTTGAAAAAGTAAAAAACTCTGTAAAAACAAATTCACTTTAGCAAGCGATTACCAGAGTCGCGACGGGTTATTATCGTATTTTAATACCTTGTACCCAAAATATAAGCGGAATACTAGTTTAGTGTATGTATCAGACAGATGGAGGCGTGGCCCCAAATGTATTCCATATATTCTTGAGTCGATATCGCCATGTCCTTCTGGCAGTTCGTATAACCGTCTGTATGAACAAAAGAACCTAAGGAAGTACAAGAGCTAGAATAACAAAATTTAGTATCCAGGTTCCCCTTATCCTAGGCCGATCAAAGTTATGTTTCCTTTTCTGATATTAAGGAACGCATAGTTACAGTGCCATTCTAAATGAATGCCCTTGAAACAGTATGTAAACATTCAGTGTATCTCCAGCTATTCTTTGAATAGTTTTCAATTTTAAAAAAGAAATTTAAATTTGTAATTTAATTTAAAAATATTTAATATTTCGTTTTTTGCAGGAGTGAGGGTATTTCAGAGTTGAGCTTAGCATTCCATTCTTGTTTCTCTAAGGTAGTGTACAAAGTATTTATAGGCTAATTTCTTCCGAAACCTTTTAAGTTCTTTTTTATGGCTGTTAATACATCCTTTAAATAATTCTCAATGTTCTCAATAGGTATCTTTTAATTTTATCTTTACATTTTAAATATTACTATTATGTTAAATAATTATTATTCATTTTGATTTGCTATATATCTACATATATATTTGAAATCAATTATGAAACATTTTAAAAAGAAAAGCTTTGCCTATTGCTTGTATGGAATAAATGCATAATGCTGTATTTCCGAGTATTATTATACTTAAAATATTTAGCATTCTTGTATTTTTAACAACTATCTTTTTTAATAATAATCTAACATTTTACAAACAAATTATGTATTTTACATACAAATTATTCTACTCTGCATTTGTAATACAAAGTCAGACTGCTTTTAATTTGTATTAAAGTCATCGAGCATGCAAGTAATGCAAAGCATGCAAGCAATTCTTACCAAATTATTTTGCACATTCATTCATGCAAGCGCCTCCCTTTCTAAGGACAAATTTATTACTCTTCCTCAAGTGCTGTTCACATATGAGCGTAAATTGTTTGCTTGTGCATCCATACATTTGAGATTTCAGGCTCTCAAAAAATAATTTAAAAAAAATACTGCCCAGAGATAACAAAAAGAATGATTCAATGTGGCTGAAAATGTAGGTTGCCAAGGCTAGAAAAATATAAGTCCACCATTAGGGCAGCTCAAAAATAATAAATAAACATCTGCAGGAAAGAGGACACAAAACAACGTGCCTCTAAAAACAAACTCTTTGCAACACATACACATACAGAAGCCTAAAGTTATGCCAAAATAAAAGCCCCAAAATGTCCTGCGGCTAAACAATGTATTAAAGTATTTTGGCATCGCCGACACCCACAAAGTGTTCCTTTTTTTATGTGGCTGTATGCCACTTGGTTATTTGTTTTTTTTTTTTAATTTTTAGATTCTTTCCATAAATTTAGGAGTGAACATCCTGTGGCGTTCTCATTAGAAATACTTCGGCTGTGTGAATTTAATTTGACTCCGCAAAAGTTGATACCAATGGCAATAAAACTCAAAGCAAATAACTTTGTGAATTGCAAAAAAAGAAAATAAATTCATGGCCAAGCAAAGTTTCACTGTACAAATTCTTTTGTGGTGCAACTTTTATTAATCTTGCCATGGATATACATAGGTATTAAATTAGAAATAAGCAAATTTCAATGACTTGCCACAAGTCTCTTATTTGGCTTTCTTATGAATTATCGCTTGTCATTCTTGGCTCATGATTATTCATGTTCAATATATGCCTTAGTTTTCAATATTCCGACGTCATTATCGTTCTATTTTCATTATTACTTTGGCAACAAATATGTTGTTAGACAACCTATTCAAAAACCATTTGTGGGCTGCTGTCGAATCTAAATACTCATAACGCTAAGAAGTTAGGCAACACATATTTCTAAATCATGCACTTGAACATAAACAATTTTTGTGGGTCTAGAGGCGAGGGTTTGTGTGTTTGCGTGTTTGCGAGGCACATTAATTAAAGACTCTCGCAGCTACTGAATGCAAAAATTAATAAGCACAACACGTGCAATATTTTGCTGAGCTGAACAAAATTTGTTGCCAGGACACAAATACAGGCATGGACATGAGCCTGGACTTACAGTTGGCAGCAGCGGTTCAGGCAAGTCGGCTGTTGGACAGTGCGCAGCACAAGTTTGTTGTGCAAAGGGCTTTGAAGTCTAATAGGATTAGCTTTGGCCTACACTTGGTGGTGTTTGTACGCCCAGTGTGCGATGGCAACTGCTGTGGGTGTAAATGTTAGTGTTTTAAAGATGGGACTGACGACGATTTCCAACTTAGTTTCGATATTCACGCATGCTATAAAAAGATATGCTGATATTCGAAATTGTTGAACTCTTTCGCTAACTAGCATTTTATACAATGTATATTATGTTTAGAAGAAAGAATTAATTTTAATTTTAAAATTGCATTCCGGCATTTTATGCATAATATATTTCTAATACTTGTATATATTTACTTGTATTTTAATTTAAAAGAAAATTGTATTCATTATGTCAATCAATTCATTTACCTTTAGTTGTTATATCAAATAAATATTTGTAATTTTCTGCACTTTTCACTATTATTAGCAAACAATGTTGTTATTATTATGCAAATTGCTTTAGATTTATGCTCTTAATTGACATTTCGTTTTCCCAATTAACTGTTCCATATCTATGGCTTTTATTCATTGTCACATGATCTATAATATGTATATTCATAAGAACACAGTTTTATGCAAAATCTGCTAAATGCTGCAGTTTGAAATTCCTGCTCAATTTTCTTTCAATGTCCAACTTAAAGTTCAGCTCATGAACATATAGAATGAAAGAAGAGCGAACCTGGTTTCTTCTGGTATATATTGGATAGATATTAGTAGTAAATATATTATAATCCGGGTTCGTAAAGTGTGCTCACGATCTACGGCTACCCACGGTAGTTTTTTTCGTGGGTCCAAATGGGTCGTGCTCGCATTTTACGAACCCTGAATGTAACAAAAGAGTATAGCAGAGGTGTCATACTATTCATATAAAGATAGTTTATTAATTCCCATAAAATGCTAGAAGTACCTAAAACAAAGAAATCACATTTATTACTTTTTACTAGAAATGCAATTACCTATAGAGTTCCCATTAGGATGTAGTTCCAAATAATGATGGAGTGGATGCTTTTTAAAATGCTCTCAGTGCTGTCAACCATGATGGTTTTTGAGTTTCTCGCATGAGCCGTGCTCATCTCTAATCTGTAAACTTTGCAGGCGGCTTGAAAGGCATGATGAGCAAGTATGCTGAGCACACAAATCATATTGCAATAAATATTATTCAATAAGGTATAGCGAACAAATTGTAAGCAAACATTGCAAGGCATTTCATTTTTATTGCAGCTAATATATTTATCTATAGAGTATATACTATGAGGTGATTGGTGAATGTTGGGTAGTGCATAAGTGGGTCAGGGATAAGGTTAACGCAGCAATATAGTTCCGATAGTGTTGCTTAATTTTGAATAACTCGGTCATTGAAGACAATTTTCAAATCGGTCTTGGCCATATTTGAAAAGGTGTTGCAAAGGGCGTTCAAATCGTCATTGGGCAAACGCCTGTCGAAGGGGAAGCCCATGGTGCGCTTATCTGGATAGAGTTTGTCCTTCAGTCCACAGAAGGAGTAGGCGTCGTTGCACGGATTGGATGGGCTGCAATCAGAAATATGCAAATGTGGCGAAATGTTATTCCATGTAATTGCATTGCGAATAAAGCACTCACGTATTTGGCTGCTGTACTTCGTCCTGTGTGTAGTCAGAAATCATGACGAACAAATCGAATAGCATGCCGCCATCTTTGCCCTTCGGCAGCAGCAAGTGCTGAGGCCAACCGCAACCACAGAAACGGAAACGAGCCAATTCATCTGAGTCCGTGGGCTGATAGCTAGCGCCCACAGCACGGAAGGAGCGCTCAAATGGTATGGCAACTGACGAGCTAGTTGACTCACGACGAATCGTGTTTGTTCCTGGCATCACTGCAAGGACAACATGCAATTTAATCGAACAATCCTATCATTAGCAGAACTTGTCGCTTACATTCCACTTTGAACTTGTCCATCTCAATGGCCAGTAGGCGCTGCTCCTCCAGTCTTAGCGGTGTGTTGCGCTCATCAGCCTTGGGGCAGATAAAGATACGGCAGGTACCGGTACGTTTAGCGTTGCCGGCATTGGTCACATTAAAGCTGTAGGTGAAGGGGGCGTTTTGGAGATGCGTGAATGAGGCATAAATGTTGCCATTGGGGCCAAAGTCAAGGCCAGCTGCCAGGTCGGCGCTGGATTTTTGCAAATAGGTCAAAAGCGTGTTGGGGCTGGCATTGCGTGTACCGATTTTGGCCTCAATGTAGTTCACGGTAACTCCCTGGAAGCCTAGTTGCGACTCGTTGTATGGGGGCAACAAGGTCTTGAACTTGTTAAAGATGTCGTCAATGAAGCTGTGCCATCTGTAGAAAATGGGATCGCGCATGGCAGTCGTAACATCACCCATCACTCCAAAGTCTTCCAAGTGACGGGCATCGGGATCGTGAGCAAACGAAATAACGGTGTGGCCCTGGTTATGCAAGTTACCATAAAATTGACGATTGATGGACAACGAGGAAGCCTCGATCATGTTGCCAAGGATATCAATGCCCCGCACTTCGTCCAGCGGTATACGCGTGCCAGAGGGCTGAAAACACAAAACTCTTAAGAATTTGAAGTCACGGCATTAAGTAAATGCTTTAACTTACGTCCTCGACATAGCCCTGATCGATGGCGCCCAAAACGCGATCACGCCAGCGTTCCAGCTCGGACACCTCGATGCTGGCATCCTCGCGGCTTACATCTTGCAGCACTTGGTTTGTAACACGAGCCGGATACGTGCGATTCTGCACGCTGGCCAAAATCTTTGGGAAATATCCTTCGGGCACGGGTGCACGCAAGTTGTTCAGGGATTGAACGCGCTTCAGATTATTGCAGAAACGCTCCACATTGTAACGGGCAATGATCTGATGATGCATGTAGTAGAAGAGCTCACCACGGCGATCCTTGTCTACCACCTGGCGCGGACCCTCCGTGGGATAAACCAAGTGCCAATGCCAATGATGACTGTTTACGCCAATATCCTCGCGGAAATAGGCCAAACGCTGCTCGTATTCGCGATCCGAGGCGGTGTAGTTTCGTGGTATGTCCACATGAATGCGATCGCCAGGGTTTGTTATGAGCGACGCTTCCTGGCGTGCATCCTGGAAAACAGATGGTTCCACAAAATTGGTTGGGAAAACCTGCGAAATGTTGGGAATGGGCACTTGTTGAGTGTCCGGGCGATGGGAGATGGCCACAGCATAGCAATATTGAAAGAGCACAGGATTCAAGCGATCCCTAAGTGTACATGAAAAATGAGTTTTGATATAAACATCTCTATTCGAATCTCACTTACTTGGTATAGGCAGCTAGTGCCACAAAGTTCTGTACATCAGGCGAGTCCAAGTAGAGTTGAATCAACTGGCTGGCAATTTCCTTGTGACGACTGTTGAACAACGAGAACTGACTCTTGCGTCCCAGTTTCTTGGCAAAGTCTAGATTTGGCTTTTTCGGCAAATCGCGCAGCGGTATCTTCAATTCAACATTATCACCGAAACGACTCTGAAGCTCCACATTGTTGCCACGATAGCGCTCCGAATAGAAGCTATCAGGCAAGTCAAAGGCAGCCTTGCCCTGGTCACGCGAGGTGAATACAGGCTCCAAAGGACGCTGGAAGAGCAGCTCCAAAGCCTTAATGTCGGTGTTGGCCATTTCAATCTATAAACCTCAGATGAGTTGAGTTTACGAAAATGTATAGAGTGTTGTCTTGACAAGCTGACTCTGTCGACTGTCTGCTTTAGTTCTGCATAAACGCCCATTTATAGTAATAGTGCCATAACCGCAAGAATTCCATGTATAGAGATTAGCGCTTCAATGACCACAACGGGGGCATAAGTGTTGTGACAAGGCAAAGGGTTGTCCGACTTGTGTGCCACACTTTAGCAGCAAATGCTGGCTTATCTTTTGTTGCGGCAGACATATGTTAGGAGTTTACGAAAATAGTCTGTAATTGCTTTCCAAAACCTTATCTTTTATAGTAAATAATAATAGTTTTCAAAAAATAAGTCACATAGAATATACTCTCATAAATGTTCATGTACTAACTAAGAGTTTAAAGGTGGAATCATGTGTTTTCTGCTTTTTTTTTGGTGACAAGCTACGCAGATTTTTAGAATTTGTAAATACATGAAACCAATATATGTATTTGCAAACTAGTTTTGAAAGAGAATAACTTTTGAGTGAATTATATTGTTATTATTAATTTAATTACTTTCCAAAACCTTATCTTTTATAGTAAATACCATAATTTGGAAACAATATAGACCACTATTTGCATGTAGAGCTATGAGTTCAAAAGTGGAATAATATTTATTTTATATTTTAATATTAATAAATCAACAATGAGTGCTGTCGATACATATTTTAAGAAACCCTAAAAAAAACTGCACAATAACCTCTATTTGGCTATGCCCCGATTTACAGCAGAAAGTGGTCAGAGATACCTATAAAAGATACATTTTATAGAATAGAGAGAGTTGAGGCACCCTAAGAGCGCAGAGGACTCTACCTCACTGATAACCAGTTTGTGGAGAAAAACTACTCCAAGAACAGTCCTGCGAATTGTTAATGAAGGAAGGTTTATAAGCAACAGTCTGCTAGAATACGATGGCAAGCGAAGATTAGGATCCCAGCTAAGACCACGTAAAGCAAAAACCAAGAATTGCTTCTGAACAGATCCAATACGTTCCTCATGCTTTCTATACTCTAGACACCAGACACAAGAGCAGCATTCAAGCACAGGGCGTACTAGAGAAGTGTAAAGAAGTTAAGTAATATAAGGATCAGTAAATTCCTTGGACCACCGTTTAATCAATCCAAGTACACCCTTGGCTTTATTTATGTTTACAAATATATGTTTATATATGTTTCTGTTTTCATCCTTTTATTTATTTTTTATTTAGTTACCCAGATATTAAGAATTTGTAAATACATAAAACCGATATATTTGCGAATGCAAACTAGTTTTGGAAGAGTATATCTATTTATTAGTGATCTACATAATCTTCTTCTCATTATTATCTTCTTCGTAGACACAAGTGTGTGTTCGGTGCTAATGCTCAATTCCATTATTATTTTATATTTTAAAATAAATAGAATGTTTGGGCTATGAAGTTATTGATATTTAAATATTCTCCTCAGCCTACGTAATAAAATCATCTAATTGAGTGCTTAAGCGCCTTAACATATTAAAAATATATTATTAAATGCTTACATAATTCATGAAATTGCTTGATAATAAATTTATAGTTCAACCCACATATTAAATACCCACAGAATATTTAAGTAGAGCGTTAAAACTTTAAAAAGCTTGATTTAAGCATTTATTAATAGAACTATGCATATGTGAAGTGTTGCTTAAATGGCTGCCTTTAAAATTGCATTTTAGCATTGGGGAAAAAGAAATATGTTTTTTATTTTATGAATTGCCTCAAAGCTTGTTGACTAACAAAAGGGAACATAAAAGGCATAAGTCTTTGGGACAAACCATTATGAGAAACGATTCGCCTCTGTTGTTATTATTGTTGTATATATGGCTGTGGGTTTTATGGTGAAATCCAACCCTATGCCCACTGGCTAGAAAATAAATTAGGGAGCATATTTTGTGCGCCGTTTGCCCGCTCACTGTTTACATACATACATACATAACTTAAAGCACTTGCCACATAAATTTATGCGAAACACAATACCCACAACTCGCATATACATTTAGGTCTGTCAGTATCTGTGTACTATGTTTGTATGTATAGAAGGATGTTTGTGCATGTATATATGTAGTAGTATAACGAGCTGAGGCGTTGGTGATTAAAATAACAGCACTGTAAATCAATTTTTGCGCTTCATGGCCAGACCAAAAGTTTGACCAATTGTCAATAATAAATATCTGTGGAAGTGTGGCTGGACCAGGCTGCTAAACTTAGACATCTGTGTGGGAGATGCGTGCGCATTAATCTGTGAAATTGACAGCGTCAAGAGAACAAAAAACCAACAGCAAACAGCAATTTGTTTTATGCATAGTACGAGCACGCCATTTTGCTGCACACCGGCTGTTGGGGAATTGAAAATATGATTTCTCACACTTTTCTACTTTGGCCATAACAACATGAAAATGACTTTTTGTTTTGGCCTAGACTTTGGATTGGTTGTTGACTTTTCGCCCATGGCGCTTGAGCTCTGCACAATACGTATACATTTATTCAAATTTTTCGCTATATAAGTGTTAGTATTTTAAGTATTTTGCTGTATCTATAAATGTTGCTTAGCAACTGCAAAACTAAAGCCATCCTTCATTTTTAATTCAATTCAAAAATTTGTACAAGTATTTGAAAAATTGCACGTATTCGTATATATGCATATATAGTATAGTATATAGTATATCCATAAACATACTTGATTTGCTGAAAAGTGAAGAGCATAAAAGCTTGTTGTTTGCACGTGTCTACGTGCAAAGTTTAACTTTGAGTTTAATGGCGCCGTCCATGTTATTAAAAGTTATTACCAAAACTTTTTAAAGTCTTAAAAAGCTGAAATTTTGTGTGTCTTGCTTAAAGAGCCTTAGCTAAACCCAAAGAGATATTTAAGTCATAAAGTATATGATAATGTGGACTCATGTGTATTATAATAATGGTCAGACATTTTATTTGCGCAAGAGCCTTGCTTAGCATATACTATACTATATGTTCCAACGAATACTATTTATCATGTGTTTGACAACAATGGTGCATTTTTATTTAGAGCCAAGTGGGTGCTATTGTGGCTGCAAACTATGGTGAGGTGCTGATAGTGTGTACATGAATCTTTTAAGCACGATATATATACTTTTTGCTAGATTTTGAATTTAAGCTTGATGAACAAATTATTAAATTATATGTTAAATCCCGTTTGAGGATTTGTGGAACTGATAAAAAATACGAAAATCTAGATCCAAAAAATTAGATCAAATATCTTGTGCATAGAAATACGAAGCTGAAAATTTACAATGGAGACATATTTTAAAATATATAATCCAAATTTTATAAATATATATTTTGTTTTTGTGAACGTTTCAGTGTGTAATAATATTTTGGCGTTTTAAATATTTAATTTTTTGATGATTTCAAAATTTTGTGAAATGATATTTATTGGGAACTAGAGAAGGGAAGATAGATAGCTAGTTTGATGATCTATATGGCATATGGTCCAACGGATCAAGTCTTTCCAGCTTTTTGTTGGTGGTACCGTTTTGAAGTAGATTTATGACCAATTTGTTTGGAAATAAGTAAATGATTAAATGCATATAAAATTCCACAATTTTTGCGTTTGATAGATTAGTATGCTAGGGATGTAAAGAGGCAGTTTGCGGCAATTCAAAGTACACCTAATTCTGTTTTTACACGGTACGTTTTTACACGGTTTCCATTTAACACTGTTTGAAAATTAAAAATGTTATATATGGTTACACGACTTTATTCCATTTAGAACGATTCATTTCATATGATCAGTGTCTTTTTTTACACGTTTTTTATTTTAACACGACTTTTTAGGAACCAATCTACCGTGTAAAACCAAAATTAGGTGTACACAAGTATACAATTTTTGTGTTGTACTTTTGACATTGCGATCTAGCTCATAGCTATGTATACTATATTGTTTGAGAGATATCACTTGAGAGAAATTAAAAAGCTAACTTGATGTTTGAATATTACTTGAAAGAAATTTAAAAGCTAATTGGAGGGTTAAGTTAAGAACAGAGATACATAATTAAACAAATAACAAGTAAAAAAAGATAAAAATATAAATTTGTTACCAGGCTGTATATTTTATGTAATACATTTTACTTCAAAATAGCTTGAAAGGCGGTTAGACAAATTTTTTTCTTTGCAGCTTCAAAAACCGCAAGCATTTGGTTTTCGCGGTTTAGATAAGTGCGCTGTGCTTATCAATAATTTAAATGCTCGTGTCGAAGTTCACAAAAACAGAATTCAGCACAGTTAATTAAAATTGTATGCTCGAAAAGTATTTGCCAATGGGTGAGTTGTTAACAATATTTATTATGCCGTGGAAGCGGCTATTAACTCAAAATGAGCGTGTAATGAAATACTAATGTGTTAATATATAGTACGTACTCAAGCCAGAGTGTGCTGTTGCATAAATCAAGGCGCACAGATGTACGGTCAAGACAGTTTGCCACAAGAATGCACAATGGCCACAACATTAACAGGACGAAGCAGTGCGGAAGCCTAGGCTGCTAGCAGCCACAGAAGACCAATTAATGTTTTTACATTAATTGGCTGGCTGTGTTCGGTGAGGACGAAAAGGGGTCTATTTGAATTTGAGGCTCTGTGGAAATGTTTGCAATGTTTGTTCCATGTGTCTATTAAAGCGAACTTTTCTGTTCAAGTTTTTTTTTATTTATTTATGTAATGCTAGCCTAAAATTTAAATCTTAAAACTAACAGAAGAGATTATGCTATCAATGGCTTCTAGGGCCTTCAGTTAACTTTGTATGTACATTTAACAGTATTAAAGAAAAAAGTAGGAATACATATGTATGAGCAGTGGGCTTAGATTTTGTGGTAAATGTTTGTGGCTTTTAAATATTTTAATATGAGTTTAGAGTTGTGTCGTCATGGGTTTGTAATTAAGGTGATGGGGTTAATGTTTGGGAGAATTGTCTGCAATGTTTAGTAGCGCTTTATTGCAGAGAGGGCAGTGTTTAGATATAGTTTCGTCCATGTAATGTTTCTGTTAAAGTTAAAGTTGGTGTAAATGCTATAAAAATGTACAGAAAATCGATGACAGTTTCGTGAACTGCTGTTCGGGCATATACTTGTACAGTACATGTAGTTAGCTTTGCGACAGCACACACTGACAGCTGGCTCTAACAATGTTAATTGTAATGAGCACACATTCACACCAGTACACACGAATAGACAACACACACATGCAAATCTCTGATGTCTAATTAAAATGCTATGCACTGAGCAGGTGTGCTGCCATTCCGAAAGGGTAGATGGGATGCTTGTAGCTTTTAATTGTGCTGCCACAGTGGCTGACTGGCAGAAACGAATCCCATGTGCATGTAACGACCATTGTGATAAGTTAAACAAGGTACGAGGGAGCGCGAGTGGCGGGCAGCTTAACAAATCATTAAGCAAACATTTTTACTTGCCACGCAGACAACGTAGTCCACATGTAAAGGATTGCTCGTGGAATACACATAAAAACATTATTAGTTGCTGCTGCCGCCATGCCTTGTCCGCCAAATGCACATATTAGTTGAGCCATATGTGCAGACAGCCAACAATTCTCAGTCAGCAGCCGAGACAGTCAGACAGACAGACAGACACACAGGCAGTTAAATATGTATGTAGGCAGGTTGGGGCTGCCATGTTGTGTGCCAAGAAGGTAATTGAACAGCATTTGTTGAATGGCTTGGAACAAATTGTGAGATATTATGAACATGGCAGACAGCTGGGTACAGATGCCACGAGCTGACTGCTTACTGTCTACTCTGACACATTGACAATTCGCCGGCAACTCATATTTTCACGCACAAGGACTGCTCGCTTATTTTTTGCAATATTCAATATTCATTGTACAGTAAAATTTCACATAATTGGATAACAATTACGAAGTTGCCAGCTTAAAATACTCCTTTAAAGTGCGATCAAAAACTTTGAAATAAAAGCGCTTGCAAAGTTATATATAATTTTGTTCAACTATATGATATTGGCAGACATTTGTCAGAAATAAATAAATATAAATATAATCAATGCTAGCAACTGGTTTGCTAATTACATGCTCGAATATAAAATAGAAGAGAAGTGGGACAGATAAGAAGTTCAGACAGAAGTGAAATATAATAATAAACAAGCTAAGAAGTTATCACATAAAGGATTGCTTCCATTGGCTTCCATTAGCTGCTCATCATTGCTCTAGGGTCTACATTAAACTAATATCAAATTTCAAACAATTTTCCACTTACTCCACGTTTGTGAAATCTCTGAAAGATTGTTTTATTGTTTTTATATTAGGACTTATTTCATAGAATACACTTTGTTAGGTTTGTGTAAAGTATAAAATGTGCCATGCAGGTCCACAAAGTACATATAAAAGACGAGTCGATTTAGTCGTGTGTGTCCATCTGTCCGTCCACCTGTCCTTGTGAACACTTAGATCTCAGAGACTATAAGAGCTGGTGACACAAAATGTTGTACACAGATGTCTTATACTCCTACGTGTGAGCTCTGCCAGTTTATTTAATTTTTTTAATACTCCATCCTCCCTCCCTTCACTCCTCTGACATTAGTGATTTTCTACAACTCCCGTAATTCTTGAAATTTTTAACTCAAATGTGGCGAATACCTGCAGTCAGTGAATATATGTTCGTATGCCAAGTTTAAAAGTTTAAAAGGTTATAGCCATAAATGTAATCTCTGCCTAAGCTCTGCCAGCAGCACTTGTTGTTGCTGATTTGACATAAATACATAAATACAATTGCTATTTAATTGTGCAGTTCCACCCTTACGTGATTTCAAATACCCAAGAATGAATGTTTTATCAATCAAACAATTTTGGTTGAATATTACAATTCCTTTACTTTTTTCTAAATGTTAGTAATCCTTTACATTTTTTAAATTAATCTTCTCATAGGTACAAGTATGTAGGTAGTATTTAAAAGTACTTTACTTTAGTCTTTTCGCTTCTTATAACATCATTACCATAATTTGGCAAATGCACTCGGGGCTATGTAAGGCTTAATGGGACTCTCTGCTGAATATAATTTATTTCTATTGTTGTTCTCGAAAATTAATTCATGTAATAATACATTTGGTTAAAATAAAAATATACTGTCTTAAGAAGAAAGTATTAGAAAGTATTTTAATTTTTACAAAGCATTGCAAATATTGTTGAAAGGGCTTTAACGAAAAATAATCAAAATAGAGCCATAAGATTTAAAACCATAGCGCAATGATGTAATAAGAAACATTTCAAAATATTTTGCTTATGATGTATCCAAAAGCTTGTGTATTTGTTGGTAAGCAAAAAGTTTGTTTTGGTAAAATCAACTTTTCCATTGCTGTTGGTATGTTGTTAAGAAGAGTGTTCGTTATTGAAGTTGGTCCACTATGCGTTTTGCAGATGTTGCTTATGCAGAGTAGCAATACAATTTAATATGATTTTTCTTGGAAACATACATACATAGTAATATACAATATCATGAATAACCACAGCATAGAACTAAAACCTGATTCCATTTACTGCTTTTTCTAAGTCTTATTTTTCTTCCGGCTCTTATTGTTGTTGTTGCTATTGGTTTTGAGCTCAATACGTGCTGTTAGGTATGCCTTCAGTAGATACATGTCCTTCACGTGGTAGCCAAATTGAATGTGCACTGGCGTTTCCATATTTACGGCCGGTATTAGGCTCAGGTCAAAGCGGAAGCCGCGTATATAATAGGTTTTGTCTTTTTCAAAGGGACACTTGCTGGGGTAGTTGCTATAACGTCGGACCAGGTTTCGCGCCATACTGATTAGAGGCACCTGTTTCTTATTGGCCAGCGTGTTGCAGCCATCACCGGTGACATTCAGCAGCACAAAATCTTCTCGACTCCTAGGCATCACAATTGCCATGTAGTGCTCATGTTGGTCCAGTGGTTTCCGCAGGATGAATTCCAAGTTAAAGCTGCGTCGTCTGACATTTTTGCTGAGGCCACAGCTGTAGTTTTTGAGGTGGGAGAGAGCAGTGTCATCACTGGTGCAGGTGAAGTTCTCAAATTGTAGCTCAAACTCCGGCTAAGGCAGAAGATTATTAAAGTACAATTAACACAATACTGTGTACAGATATTACGTATACGCACCTTTGCCATTACATTGTTTAACAAAGTAACACAAATTGCTAGCAATGGCGCGTACATATTTACGCTTAAACCTTAAATGGAAGCTAAAGGGCAATCGTGCCTTGATTGAAAAAAAATGACCATGTTAATGTTTATATAACGACAAATAAATGCGTTGATTATTGAAGCGTATCTGATATAGGCGCGCGTAATAAGTGAGCTGCAAATTAGTTTTACATCTGATTTAACAATTTAATGTATTTTTCATTGCTTATCATGTTGTATGCAATGATTTTGTGGAATTTCAAAAATAATACTTTTATTATTTTCTCATTAAATTAACATAATTTTAAAATGTTTTCATTTTCCGCGTGATATAATACCGTGGGGAGCATATTTTGCATCAGCTACGGTCATTTTCAATTCGTTCAGTATATTCACGTACTTGATCAAGAACTTAATGCAGAGGTAATGCTGGTTAATATGTTAAAACATATTTTTTGTAAAAGTATAAGTCTTAGTGCTGATACTCTGAAGCAATCAGTTGTAGAGCATTTTAATAACCTTTAATTTTATTTTAACTTTAGTTTAACAAATGGAATTTTAATTAACACTCTTTATTTATTTTTTGTAATATTTTGTTAAAAATTTAGTTCTCAAATATGGGCAGAACCTACAAACTCTAAAAAATATTTAGTCGCATCTAATGAGTAAATATTATACAAATTCTATGCTCTAATGTAGTATGTTAGTTAGGATATAATTAATGTGTTTATATGGGAAACAAATTTTAATATTTTTAATACAGCAATACAATTGAGAAAACTTAATTGCAGACCCATTCAGAAATAAAAAATAAATGGATCTGTTGTGGGACATTGTACTTCAAGTTCGACTGCCCTACGAGCATTGAACATTCATGAACCGATAGTTATGAATGATTGCTAAAGCCCTATCTGCTCAGCTCAAGCTATAGTGTTTTTTTCTATTTTATTGTTGTTAAGCCACTTTGTCTTTCAAAGGGTATACCATGCTCTTACATATGCTAATTACATTTTAGGCATAATTACAATACGAAACGAAAATGGTAATTAGTGCGCATGAATACTGTGTGGTTATCCGTTTTGTATAATCGAAAAATCTGTTATTGTTTAGTCAGTTGGGCCGAGTTGGGCAAGAGAAACGTAAATCAAATGAACCTGAAGTTGACGTTTACCATTGTGTGCCTTTTTTACGGCTTACTTCATACATACAATGTTGATGCAAAGGTGGGATATCTGAACTGAATGGAAATTTCAATTATGAACATTTTAATTAAACAGAGTGAGATGGAAATGACGTTCAACAATTGCACGTGCAGCATGGATGATCCTGAGAAGTTACTTACCCATTTGCGTTGCGGTATCAGCAAAAGCATAAAGCGGCGAACATTCTCTATTGAGATAAAATTCAGTCAACCTGTCACCAATTTCTTTATAAACCTGCGTATGGTATTGCCGCGACGTGCGGGCATGGATTTTACAGTTTTCAATTTAACTGATATCGAAGGATGTCGTTTGCTATCGAATACAAAACAAATTCCAATTTTGCAGGTTGGACGCATCCATTTAGATCATTTTAGCAACTTACCAAAAAATTGTCCTTGGAAACCGAATGTGATGTACTATATACGCGGCTTTCGCCCTAATATGGAATCGATGCCAGCTTTCAGTTTTGAAACGGACTTAAATTTGTGGTTTGATTTTGTTGTCAATCATAGTAAGATTATAAAGGGCTTCATGGTCGGCCATGTACAGCGACGTCAGATTGGCAAGAAAACATAAATCTATGCCTGTGGCATTTGAAAAGTTACGCAAATAAACATCATAAACTAAATACATGTCCACGAAGTTTCGTTCGGGTTGAGTTTTCAGATTTTGCGTTCTCTCCTTTCTGTTCAGTGAAGTGTGCGCGGAAACAGATGGATATGATATACTTGTATGTATGTTCCCTCGACACACATGCACATACAAGTAGACGAGCATGTACCTATATAATTGTGCTTTTGGGCATTTTTCCTTTACCGGCACTGTTTTTTTATGTAGCACGTGCCACTCACAATCGCCATATGTATGTGTGTGCTGATATACAAACTTACTTACGAGTATGTAAGTGTATGCTTGAGTATCCCCGAAATTAAAAATGCCACGCGCGTTTTGGTGTTACAAGACATTTTGGCCACTTTAAGTCTAATGTGAATGTTAACGTCGTATTTGGGGCAAATTCTGCTCAAAGTGAAACGTATTCAGTAAATATTTTCCAAATTGATGCACCCAAAAGCCCCGATCCATTGCCTTTGATGTGCATGATTGCATATTTATTTATGCAATTTATTTTTACTGATAAACATTTTTATAGCCAGTTGCTTTTTAGAGAATGCAGGCGAAAGTAATTCAGGTGTACATTTTGATAAATCAATGAAGTTTTAGTTTCTTTGAAAGTGCTGAGTGACACAAGAATAAAACTTGGCAAGAAGTTTGCCTTCAATTTGTGTTATTAATTGCTTTTGGCAGTTAGAAAGTTTTGACTTCTCGCTGCATGCGCCCCAAAGACTTTTCTCTTGTTCTTATACCACATAATTGAATTAAAAGAAATAATCACATACACATAACATACGATTTTATACACCTCCTTTTATATGAACAATTTATTTCTGTCAATTTATTCGTCCTAACTGTTTGTAATGCAGTTAAAGGATTATCACTTTTCTTAATATGTAGTCCTTAAACTGGTCTCTAAAAAAGGTCGACAGCAACAGGAATAAATACATAGATTTAAGCTTAAGATATTCTAATACCCATTTGTGTAAAAGGCATTAAGATGTTGGTGGACCATTTTTCTTCCCAGTCAATAATTTGTGCAGAAAATTATTGTTTGTTTAATTTTAAGAGTAATATTCATGCAAATATTTAAATATTTAAATAAACTTCTTCTTTTGAAGTCAGTTTAAAAATGGGTTTCGATGCTCAAACCATTTATATAATTGTAAATAAAATTCTAAAAGATAAAACTATATTTAACTGAATGTACTTCTTGCAATTTGCAATCAATATTTCGCATCTAATTTGTCGGCAAAAGATTTCTAAATCGTCCATAAAACACATCCAGCTTTTATTTTATTTGTGATTTGTATCCGAGAGAGGATATGTGGTTTGCATTTTATATGCTCATGTAAAATGAGTGTTTTTTTCAAATCACGCAACCGGGACCAGAGTATCATCAGTCTAATCAAGTGAAATAAGCGGAAACGGAAATTACACATACTATATAGTCGTAAATAGTGCAGTCATGTGAGTGCGTGTGTCTGCTTAGCTCAAGCTTCTTGTGTATGTCAATTCATGCAACATGTGTGCCTGGCAGGCTGAGTGTCTCCTATCTGTGCGTTCACAGATTTTAGCAATCATACATATGTTAGTGGTACTTGACTGGTTTGTTGCCTCTGACCGCTTTGCGGAAATGCTGGAAATTCGCAATTTGTGGTTTGTATATTTATGGGCATGCTTGTGCGGATTTTTACTGGATGCGTCGACAGCATAATATATAACATATAGTATGTACGAAAGGAGTGTATAGTAGAAGGAGAAGTTTTCTTAAATTTAAATAAATGTCATGCAAATTGTAAAAATGCTTAGCTTTGAATATCAGTTGTACATACTTTCCACCAAAGTGTTAGGATGTATATATTAGATCGATAGTCAACGATATTGATATTTGATCGTATGTTGATTTAAAGAAATAAGTTTAAAATACAAATATATATGTATTGTTAAATTAAAACACAAATTTAAAAAATGTATATTTGATTTTCCTTAAACTATAAAATACTATAAAAAATATAATTATATATTAGGTTATGAGCCATGACTTCTTATTTAACAAGAGCAACAAACTTAAATAACTTTTTGCTCAGGCGAGTTCTCCCTTCTGAAATAATGTGTCCAGCTTTACTGTGAAATCTTGTAAATAGTCTGTCAATGTTTTAACCCGCTAAAATCCCTTTATTAAATGTACCTTTCTCGCCCTCGTAATGATAAATAATAATAATAAATATAATTATGGTATATTAAATATTAATGAACTCCGTTAAGAAGCTTAACGCAGCCTGAGTTGTGAGTTCTGGACGCCATTTTTTAATGACTCGCTGGAAACTTAGAGTGGGAGGTTCAGATCATCCACCATATAGGTCGGATCTGTCGCCAGCCATTATTAGCTTTTTTATACTATTACATATCGTAACTAAAGCAATCCCTATTAAAAAATTGTGAAATAAGGATGAAAAGGGATTGGATAGCAAAACTAATATAAACAGTTTTGCTGTTTTACTGTTTATATTAAATGTAAATATGTATATACATAAATATATTTTTTGTCTTTATTCCAATGGTTTACACTAAAGATTGAGTCGCAATATTGCGAAGGCTTTCAATAGATTAGGCGTTAACTTATAATATTTATAATCATTACTTCTATTTCAGAGCTTTATTGACAAAAAATAATTGCTGTAATAGTTTATAAGATATAAATATTTTGTACCATATATGTGGGACTTAACATGCATATTCTCTATTTCCACTTGTTTCTAATAAATGACTCCCAAGAAGCAAGAATACTGTAGCTTATGAGAAAGAAAGAGATAGCATTAGAGGATTCGTAAATGAGAGTTTGAGTTTGACTTTTATCTTCGAATCGCATTATATAATTATGATATTATGATTAAATATAAGCCGACATTATATTGTTATAAATAGTAGAAAACAATAATTTGCCAAATGTTTTAAATATTGAATTCTAGTTATATTTTCATGCTGATCGATAGATATTTCACAACAACCCTGCGAGCATGACAAGATATTACCTTACTGACAGCATTACAGAACACTGTTAAATTGGAACTTGCTGGCTCTGCAACCATTTCTCATAGAATTGCGGGAACATGTTGGAAGCGGAAACTCAAATTAGATAGATCTCAGGTCCAATATTATGAGTATTCGGGACTCACCAGTTATTAGAAAAAAATACTAACCTTTCCCAGCTGCAGCACACAAGGAGGGAAAAGTCTTGCGGTAGGGGAAGGTTTGAGTGATGACAGAACCGACAAACCACCGCTTATAGCAACCTAAATACTTATCAGACGTACCTCGTAGAGCAGTATTGATAGGTACACAATGTGCACATTTGTATGCGTTATATACACATGTGGGTATACTATATAGTAAGTAGTTAAGCTTTTATCAGCGCAAATTTTACCTCTTCTGTATTATTATTATTTTTTCGTGACTGTCAGTTGGTGGTGACGGGCGCTATTGACGTTTTTATCACGGCAGCTGCTTTGAGTTTTTGCAATCGCCATTGGTTTCCAATATTAAGGGCGCCCCGAAGCTTTCGCTCACTTTCGATTAATTTAATAAAAGTTGGCGTTAAAGCGACATGCTAAAACGCAACAGCTGTCAGTTGCTGTAGTTGCGGTTATTGCTTTTGTTGTATTTGTTGGTGAATCCGTTTAAAATTAACATGACCGCCACCTGAGTTGTTTGTACGAGTATTGTTGTTGTTGTTGTTCTTGATGCTGGTGGGGCTGCCAGCAGCTCATTCGCTCGGTCAGGAACGTTTAGTGTTATACAAGCTCCTTGGAGAGCAGGAGGGCGAACATGTGCGCGCGTTGTTAGCCTTTGGCTGCAACCATTGAAAAATATTACAAAAATAAAACAAGAAGTAGCAGCAAACATTTATTTATACCACGTTATTGCTGCTGCTGGCTTATTGTGTTAAAACGCTGTCTACGTTAAATGGACTGGCTATGTTGTGCAGGGTTTTCAATTTAAGGCAACATATTTTTTCATTGCTGCAATTTTACGCTGCTGTGTCGAGGCCTCGTTAAACAATGTGTGGCAAATAGACCAAATAAATTTGTACACGTATATTGTCGAGTGGTGCGCAATAAAATTGGACTTTTGTGTTATTTGATATGCATAATTAATAAGCAGCTAATTAAAATGCAATTTGCCACTGTAGAGCAACGAAACCGCAGGAGCGGTCATGACCCAAATTCGAAAGCAAAATGTATGCAAATAGTATATATAATTAGTATTTGAATTGTCTGTGACCTTGTACATTGAATAATATTCTCTAATAATATGTAATTATTTCTAATCTCTTTACAGTTGTATCACACAAAAAGCGCTCATATAAGCGCCCAACCATTTCCATGCCAGCGCGCAAGGGGTTGCTTGCACCCCAAAATACTTTCTTGGATACGATTGCAACACGGTTCGATGGCACGCGTAAGTCGGAATGCTAAACGATTTTCAGGCATTATGCCTTCAAATGTGACTTTTATTCATATGTCAGTTTTATTAAGTGCCAGTGAGTGATGAGCATAGCTTGAAAGGGCTACATGATCCATATACGCGTTTGAATAAATATAGCACACATGTGCGAGCCTACACTTGTCGTTACAAGTATGTTACTCAAGGGCGAACGCGGCACATAAGAATTTTATGCACACACAATCCATTTACGTACATACATACATACATACATACATACATACATACATATACAAATGTCAACGAAATCCCTGCGGCTGGCCTTTGAAAAACAAAAAACTGGCGCATTGTGATGCATACGCCAGAATGGATGTCACAAAATTTATCCTTATTGAAATCTTAAAAGGCGCCTCGAAAACCATACACGTGCCTGTACGCAGGGAAATTAAAACTATGTAGTACCTTCATATCGTTGCCTTTGGGAGTGCTTTTTGGCCCTTTGTCGTTGGTATTGCCAAAAATAAAGGCAAAATCTAAGCGCACAGCATTGTCTGTTATGGCTGTGCTAAATTGATATGCGCTAAAAATATTCTTATTAATATGGACTTTTATAGAACATAAAGCAATATGTAGAAGAGCCTAAGGAATTCCAAATAACAAGTATAATGTATATTTAGAAGCATGTAGGAGTCTGTTATGCAAAGCAACAAAAATAGACTATTAGTTGATATGGTTTCACGATTCTATGTAGCAGAGGGTTCCAAGGATTGTTCGTGGAACATTTTTGCAATAAGGGCAGGTGCATGGCTACCTTTTATATGCTGTACTTAAAAGGTAAGGTAAAAGGGTATACTAGTTAAGTTTAGAGGCGTGGCAAACCTCACAAAGTATACATATACGAGTTCACCTAATTCTGTTTTTACACGCTTTTTTTTATGGTTTTGATTTAACACGGTTTGAAAATAAACAATTTCAAATTTTTGTACACGATTTTATTCCAACACAAATAAATAAAATCGCACACAGCTCACAAACAGCTAGAAACCATTCTTGTATGGGTCGTTGCAAAGAATTATACAAATAAATAATTGGCCAACAACGGCTCATAACAGAGTTTACTGTTACGGAAGAAAGCCAAGCTCAAAATTATTTCAGTAATGCTAGTGAAAGCCTGCGAATTCGAGTAACTGACAGCAATTAAATTTGTGTTCCTGTATTTAAGATAAAGATTTCTTCATTTTATTTCCCTTTACCTTAAAAATTGAAAAACTGATTCTTTTTTGTTTTACATATGTACATTCATAAATGTTTTTAGTTCCTGATCTTCTCATACATTTAATTTACATACATATGTGATTTTATAAAACACACATGAATACTTGTCATAAAATATCATTGTTTTTTCACAAATTTTAATAGGTTTTAGAGATAAGGAACCAATCAACTATATTTGCATAACCTCAATGTCTTTTTTTACATGGTTTTTTACACGGTTTTTCCGGAACCAATCTACCGCGTAAAATTATTAGGTGTATATTCTAGGTTATAATGGCAAAACAAGACGATATAACCATGTCCTTCTTTGTTCAAAAATAAAACTCAAGCTGTAAATTTATCTATTCCATAAGGATAAAGAACAAAAGGGCGAACATTTCTAATTAATTCATTTTTAATTAATCATTCCGTTCATACAGACGAACGGACAGACAGACTGATGGACAGATGGACAGGGCTGTGTCGACTCGTCTTGACATCCTCATCAAGAATATACAAGTATACACTTTGTGTGGCAGACCACACCTCCTTCTGCCTGTTACAAACACTCATATTTGTGAATTAAAAAAACATTAATTAATTAATAAATCAGGGTGAAAATTCCTAGATAATCCTTAAAAAAGGATATCTGTAAATTCCTCGCTTTCTCAAAGCTACTATAGTATAAGTGAATGAATTTTTCGTTTAAAAAAAAAACAAAATAATCATTATTTGCAGTTTTTGGTAAATTCATTAGTTTTATTTAATTAAATAATAACTTTCTACAAATTAACCCATCCTGATAAAACTGGCATCACTAACTGGAGGTATTTGTGGAATTCGATTGAAAAGTTCCAAGATTTTTGGATACTCATGGGAGGGAGAGAGCAAAATTTTGAAACACACTTGTCCTGCTTTCTCACTCTCTAGTTCTTATAGTCGCATAGATATCTTGCACGGTTTGATATTCATTTTCTTAGAAACTGTACTTCTAGACAAACAACGTTTTCGCTTGCCACTTGAGCATTATTTAATTAGTATGAAAATTTAAATTGTCATTTTAGCAGTTTCACTCACACGCCTCACGTGAAACACAAGTGGGGGGCTATTTGCTTTTGTTCATAACCGTCCAAGCAATTAAGCTGAAAGCACCACGATGCGGCACGAGCGCGAATTTGCAGAACGCGTAGCCGTCTGACATTTGTAGTGTGATGTGGGGGGGTGGGGGAGCTAAAACGTCTTGTGTCCTTAGTGGCAGGACGCTTGATGCAACAAAGACGCTTGATGGATTGGCTATTGATTGGACTGGTGCAATGCGATAAGTGTGAGCGTTAAGCAATGTGACTTGGTTGTTGCAGTTGTTGATACTGCTACCACGTACAAAGGACTGTTGTTGGTATTGTTGATATTGTTTCATTGGCAGTAAAGGCAAAGTAATTAATTGACATGCCCGTTTTAGTGCTCTAACTGCTGCCTGTTCCCACTGCTGTTTTATTTACGCACTTGTTGTAATGCCTGGCTGCATGATTGACTTGAGTATAATCGTAAATACACAAGCCAACATGCAGTGACAGCATTAATTGACTTGCTGTTGTCTCTCATACGTGTATATGTACGGTACATATAATATATATGTACACATCTATGTATACACAATTCAGAGAGTTGACGCAAATTACTGCGAACTCTATGTCTACACACGCATTCGTTTAATTTAATATTATCTTTTTTTTTGTTGTCTGTCTGTTCGGTTAAAAAGGTTTTACGAGCCATAAATAATAAAATGAGCATATTAAATGAGCATTCGTCTATGCGCTGCAGGCAAGGGCAATAATTTTTGCTCTGCCTCTAAGTGATTTGTCTAAGCTCGTGCCTTTTTCAGTGCTTTGCCAACATGTCGTATGCGTGATAGACATGAATTTAATTTGCTGCCAACTGCTGTATCTTTGTATCTGTATCTGTATTTGTACATGGACATGCATGCACAGTCAGCATATTAACAAGATAACAGCTTGAACTCCATGCCAGCTGCTTTAAACATACTGTGCACAATTTATTAAGTACGAAGCGTTTACGGCCAGCCCTTTTGCGTGCTCGAAACATAAAACACTTTCCATAAAAGCTACACTCTGCTCAGCATGCATTTGCAATTAGTTGCAGAGAAGAAACGCTGGTTAGAGCAGACAACCAACTTTTTAAATCTTTTTTTAAATCCATGAATATCTATTCGCCGCTGATGAAGCTCACACTTTATTTATGTTACTATTTTTTTGATGGACTTCCTTCCTTTCTCGTACATTAAATGAGTTCAAAAAACTGAGTTTATTTCTTAAAAAGCTGCTTTTATATGTATACTAACAGTCGCATTTTATTTTAATGGCTTATCTATTGGTTACTTAGAGTTGTGTTGTGTAAACCCATCTGTGACTTATCTATTATCCATGTTTATTATCTATCGTACTTAGTATAGCCAGTTATTTTTGGATGTAGTTTTCAAACATGTGTTTTTTGGTGTGAAATATACATGCATGTATGCTTATGCTAAAACATTCTGTCAGGGGCCAATTTTTATTAAAGCCTGCAGATTAAGGATGTTTACTTTTTGAACAAGATTTTATCATTTATACAGTATTTTCTTTTTGTACTAATGAAAATTTAATTTATTTGGTTTCCTTCTCAAAAAATACATATTTAGTTACCAAATGTTGCAATTTGTTTTTTCTTTCTTTTGGGATGAAATAAATTTAGTTTTTATTACGGCCTAGGACATTATGAAGGACATGTGGCTAATAAAGCTTTAGGTAAATCGAAGTTTTTAGATTTTACATAACAGTTAGTGTTTAGAGAGAGATAGAGAGAGAGAGAGAGATTCTACAATACCTTACAACCCGTAATCTCCTCTCTATTCGTTTATCTATTTTAGTATATGATGTACTTGTATATGTAAGCCTATTATCTGGTCATTGTGTATACATATAATATAGCTGCAATCGTTAAGCTATTTATAGCTCACATTTATTCATATTTCTGGAAATGTATTTTTGTATATATTTACGTTGTAGAAGGCAGCTTGCGTGTGCGTGTAATTGTATATTTATAACATACATTTGGTCCACAGCATACATTCTATTCTGTGCAATATTTTGGAGATATTAAATATACACGGATTAAATTCAGATTATATGATTGCTGCTTATTTCTCAATTCTAATATCTGCATTGCATCCTCAACTTGAATTACTACGAACTGTATGCTTGTATATATTTAATTGTCATATTTTTAAAATACATGCACACAAAGGAAAACACATCCTCATTTATTTGTATGTATGGCTCTTATGTTTTCGTTGCTTAGACACATATAAGTAGTATGTGTGCGGATTTTCAATCAAATTGATTACTTTACTTTCTGCGCGGTAAATTATTTATTCAATCACACTTAAGTAGTAATTAGCTTGCATTGTAAAATTCTTTGAAATACTTATCAAATAATCATAGACATAAGTACATAATTATGCATAATTTTTCCATTTCAAAATATATTCATGTTAAGCTTACTATTGACAATAATTAATAGAAAGTATTCACTTTGCTTAATTATTAAATTAACTTAATATTCTTAATTTAATGATATGCTTACGCGTAAATCCGTTCATACAATTTTAGCAATAATCGGCTTAAAACATAACAGTTTTTGTCTTATAATAAATATCTTATTGGTCCACTTAGCGACATCAACGTATTGTGTGTCAAATTACAAATACTTTTAAAGTATAATAGTAATTAATGCAATGATTTCATCTCTAATGGATGCAAGAACACGTCTCGCAGTAATAAGTATTCTGTCAATGGTTGGTCTTTTCTTATTTATAAAGAAATAAACGGTCAGAAATAATCCGGTCAGTTCGTTCACTGTCACACGAACTGGAGTCAGTTGGTTCGTAGACGTCTGTCACTTCACATCGCCCCGCGCAGCGATCATAATCAATACATATTATACCACACAATTGTTCACCAGCTGCAATTATTATATTCAATAAACAATACTACATAAGCAATGCGCGCATATCTAAAACTGGCGACGAGGATGGGATAAAATAAAATATTTAGAGTGCGTACATTGTTTAAAAGTTATGTGTACATACGGCTGTACATACCTCAGTGCATAATTACCCAACAACCGCGTGTTCACGAAATTGGTGCGAAAGGAGAACTCGCAAAAGACATACATACATACTCGTTACCGAGTGAGCGAAAAGCAAGCGGGGTGAAGAGGAATCGAACAAATTCCATATTGTATGCAGCGTGGTCATTGTTGTGCGTAGCCGCAAACATACCAAGAAAAGTGCAGTAATTCGGAGTAACTGTTCTGCTGATAACGCATGGCTAGTCTAGAGAACAGCGAGCAAGCATCGAGTAGTAGCGACGAGGCAGTTGTTAAAAGTGAAGGTGGAGAATCACATGTTACTGATCGAGTGAATGCAAAAATTACTCACATGGCTGGGGTTGGAAGTCTGGAGCCGTTCGACTTGGGTCATCCGCACAAATGGTCAACGTATATGGAGCGCTTTAATTTGTTCCTGCTGGCCAATGATGTTAAAGAGGAAGAGCGGAAAAAGGCGGCATTTCTTACGCTTGCCGGAGCGCCCTTATACGACCTTTTGACATCATTGGCATCTCCTAAACAGGTCAGTGAATTGAAATTAGCCGATATTTACAAAACTCTAACCGACCATTTGTCTCCACGTCCCTCCGAAATCGCCGCATTCTACCACTTTCACAAACGAGACCAACACGTGGATGAGTCCGTTAGCAACTATATGGCAGCACTTCGTACATTAGCAGTCGATTGCAAATTTGGAGCGGCGTTAGATCGGATGTTGCGCGACCGATTCGTATGTGGGTTAAGAGATGAAGGTCTGCAGAAAGGGTTCTTGGCAGATAAGGATTTGACTGTGCAACGAGCCTTAGAACGCGCCATGTCTAATGAAGCAGCAGCGATCAGTGCCATGGCTATTAGACAAACTGGCGAGGCCGTTCATATTATTAAGATGAATCGTTACCGGCATTCTCAGCGCGGTACAGTCAACAACAAATACGATGGACAAGTATGTGGCGGCTGCGGAGGCCGACATTCCCGCAAGCAGTGCCCCCACCATGATACTGTGTGCCATGCCTGCGGTCATAAAGGGCATCTTAAACGAGTCTGCCGTAGCCCTGACGCAGCGAAGTCGACTAGATCTATATCAACACCCAACTCACAGCAAAGACATCGAGGGATGTCAACACACAGATCGTCTCGTGGAGAATCTGTCAACAAAATCGTGCCGTTGGTAAATCAGAAGAGGTCAATTTCTCTTGTCATCAATGGGTGCACGTGTTCTTTTGAAGTGGATTCAGGGTCGCCAGTGACCATAATGACGGAAACCACGTTCAACAATATCTGGGCTCAAGGACAGCCAGATCTCGCCAAGTGTGACTTGGACCTAACGGATTACCAACGCAACCAAATTCCGATTAAGGGTGTCATTGATGTGTCAATTCGTTACAATCGTCGTAAAATTGACAATCTGCCACTGATCATCGCCAATGTAGGAGGCTCAAATTTGGTAGGATGCAACTGGTTCGACGCACTGGGCATACGCATCGAAGGCGTGTTTGCAGTCAACAGTGGCGTCAACATAAAATCCGTGCTCAGTGAGTATGAGCATTTATTCGCTACAGAACTGGGGCGCCATAACGGTCCGCCAGTTACACTGCATATCGATACGAGCGTCGCCCCTGTGCGTCTGTCACCGCGCCGTATACCTTTCGCAATCAAGGGTCTGGTCGAAGAAGAGATCGAGCGATTATGCAAACAAGGCATTTTGGAGCCAGTAGAATACTCTGACTGGGCAACACCAATCGTGCCAGTCGTCAAGAAGGATGGATCCATACGCATCTGCGGCGACTATAAATCAACATTAAATAAAGCAATCAAACCTCATTGCTATCAAATTCCAGGCGTCAATACCCTATTAGCTTCGATCGAAGGAGGATCGATTTTTGCAAAAATAGATTTAGCACAAGCTTACCAACAGCTTGTAGTCGATAACAATTCAGCATTGCTTCAAACGGTATGCACACACAAGGGAGCATACAAAGTAACACGGCTACAATTTGGCATATCATCAGCGCCAGGGATTTTCCAGAGTTTCATCGAGAATCTTCTACAAAATATCCACGGCATTTTGCCCTATTTTGATGATATAGTCGTAATGGGAAAAACAGAAGAAGAGCTTGCGGAAAGGCTCATACAAATGTTCTCGCGTTTTGACAAGGCAGGGTTACGCCTACGCAGAGACAAATGTCAGTTTGGAGTGCCATCAATAGAATTTTTGGGCTTCAAGATCGATGCATGTGGAATTCGGCCAACTACTGACAAGGTAAAGGCAATTCACGACGCACCAGCACCCAACGACAAGAAGCAATTACAGTCATTCTTGGGACTGCTAAACTTTTACCATGCATTCTTGCCACAAAAAGCAACCGTGGCGGAACCTTTGCATCGCCTCCTAGATAAGCATGCGCGCTGGAAATGGGACGGAGAACATCAGAGAGCTTTCGAAGAACTAAAGAGTTTAGTTACATCGAGCGACGTGTTAGTACACTACAATGAGGAACTACCATTAATACTAACATGTGACGCATCGCCTTACGGACTCGGAGCAGTCCTAAGTCATAAATTACCAGACGGCACTGAGAAACCAATAGCGTTTTATTCTAGAACGTTGTCAAAAGCTGAACGGAACTACTCGCAAATTGATAGAGAAGCCGTAGCGCTTATATCAGGAGTCAAAAAATTCCACAATTATCTGTATGGCCGTTCTTTTACGTTAGTTACAGATCATCGTCCACTATTGGGAATTTTCAACGCGTCGAAAAGAGTACCGGATGTCATTTCATCAGTTATGCTGCGAAGATCAATCTTTCTCAATGCCTATAGTTATACACTGATACATCGTGCTGGATCAAAAATTGGAAATGCAGACTTCTTGAGTCGTTGTCCAGTACCATCAGAAGTAGAAACAGCAACTAGCGAGGACGTATTAATGATTGAACTGGTAGCAAAGCCAATCGTGAGTGCTGAACTGATTGCGTCCCAAACTTCGAAAGATATCAATCTCTCGAAAGTTTTAAACTGGGTGTTAAGGGGATAAGGAATTGAAAGAACTCCTATTATTTCTGAAACCCAAATACATATCCAACCACTTAAAAATTGTATCAGGCAATGGCTAAGATGTTAACCTATTGTCTTCTTTGTATCTGAAACTTAGGCCTTAAGTTCTCAGACCTCGGCACTGAAAAAGAATATACATATAGTCCTATTGCAGATGTATTACATCTCTGCCAGAAATGTTTTAATATTGGCAATATTCTTCTTCTTTTACAGACTCGAACTTTGTGCTTGGCAATGCGCAGGCAAATGGCAATCCAATTGTTTATTGCTCGGATGGGTTCGTGGATTTGACAGGATATTCACGCGCTCAAATTATGCAAAAGGGTAAGACAGACGTGCCAACAAACCGACGGGCAGACGAACAAACAGTTACACAGGCAAACGGGAGATAAACGAGAGACAAACGGACTGACAGAAAGACAGCGGCAACTTATTTTACACTTGAATACTCATTTCAATGTTTTGTACGTTTTATTCAATTGTTTGCTGATGACGAAAACAACAACGATGACTACGACAATGCCAAACAAAATGGCCATACCTTAACAAAAACCCAGGCTGCTCCTGCCATTTTCTCTACGGACCGGATACGAAGGATGAGCACAAACAGCAAATTGAGAAAAGCCTCTCAAATAAAACGGAACTAAAGTTGGAGGTTATTTTCTACAAAAAGGAAGGTAAGCACAACAAGAAATTTGTTTCTTAGGAAAAATGTTTTTGGGTGCAAGTTACAAACATCGGGAAGCGTAACAAATAGAGATAAAAAAAGCAAGAGAGAGAGAGAGAGAGAGAGAGAGAGAAGGAATAAAAAACACAGAACGAATGTGAGCAAAATGTGAAATAAATTGTTTTCGTTTTAATTAAAAATTCGTGAAAGTTCATTTGGCATTTGGCAAGTGTGGTAATTTGTGTTAAGCAGACAGGAAATTATGCGTGCATCCGTGTGTGTATGTGTGTCCGTGTTTGTGTGTGTTTGTGTCCGTGTTTGTGTGTGTGTGTGTGTGTGGAGGGTATTCGCACTAAGCCAAGGCGCAACACGTTGGGACTGTTTGCTTGCAGCTAAGTAGAAAATTACGTGCCTGGCAAAGTGAAACTAATTTTAAATGAGCGGCTTTCGAAAGTTAAAGCCGCAGCAAGCAAATTGTGTTTGTGGCCAAAGAAAAGCCAACTTTATCACAAATACACCAACATACGAGTATACATACATACATACAAGTATATATATTTATGCGCAAACTGTTATCTTTGGAAAGTTGAACATTGAGGTTGAAAATTTCCAATGCCAGTGTGATATCAAATGAAATGTTAACCACATAAGAGAAAAAAGTTTTATTATTTGCGCTCATTGTTTTGCGTTGCCAACCATAAGTGGAAGCACTAATCCAGAAGCCGCAGCCACAGCAAAGGATTATAACAATTACTGGCCACATGCTGGTGTGGCTGCTGTTGCTGCTGCATGTCGAAGTTGAAGGACAGCAATTGTGGTACCACGTGTCGAGCATGCTTCTCAGCAGCTCGTAGTAGGAAAACCCATGGCAGGAGTGAGCTCTTATCTTGCCGATACGATTCTCCCATATTGACCCTTAATTCCTCACATAAAATGTGGGTAAGAAAAGTGCAAGCAGGCCATTTCCTGTGTGCATTAAGACAGTGTATATTATCAGGTTTTATTGAGTTAACGACGAGCAGCTTCTTGCCTTGAACTACTTTTGCCAGTCCCCCATGACTAGCCTCCTTCTTCTCTCACAGGACACAAAGTCCTGCCAACACTTGTTGAAATGCTCTCATGAGCCTTCCGTTTTGTCCGTGCGCTGTGTGGGTATGTGTGTGTGTGTGTTTCTGTACTCATAAATACTGTCACGTTAGCATGAGGCAGACAACTATAGAATCCACTCGGCTATACAGACGACACAACAATAAATTTGCTCGTGGCATTCTTGCACGTTCGTGTCGCGGCATTTTGTTCTTTAATGAGGTCACGATTAATCAGACTTCCAGCCCAGAGTGATTCCGTGGCCAACCACTGCGCTTTTGATATACATATACATATATTTCATATTTCCTGCTGATATTAGCTTGTTAATAAGTTTTCTAATTAGCGTTGCGCTCAAAACTTTTAAACGTTCGTCCTTAATGTGTGTATGTGTTTAGTAATTCTGAATTGGTTTCCTTTGCCTCGAGCATCGTATACCCGTACTCAATTATTTCGCTAATTAAAACGCAGCCTACATAATTTTCCTCTAATTGAGTTGCTATGCAATTTATTTTTGCATTGTGCGTTTAATAGGCGTTTAAACTTTTATTAGTTTGTAGGTTAAGGTATAGAAAATAGGGTATGCCTAAAAGGAGACACTGTTTATTTTTATACATTATTATTAAATAAATAAGTTTTAATAAATAAATAATAATAGTTTGTTTCTTGCAATTAGCATAGAAGGTGCCACAATTGAAAGCAGTGAAGGAATTGTTAGGCTGTCGAATAATAAAGGCTTAGATTAATTAATAAAAAATAAAAACGAGTTGAGTCTAATTTGAAAGCAGTTTTTTTTTTAAATAATCGTTGCGTAAATTCTTTAACACTTTTCTTTAGAGCAATGCGCAATCGCATTAATATTGAGTCGACTCACTGTCCCGGGGTATGCTTTCTACCAAATTCTTAGTGTATTCGATTGGAAGCAATTACCAAATTCGTCAAATTTGCCGGCAGAATTGTTGTCAAGTTAATACCCGATTTCACTTAGGCTTATGCTTTATACATATCCAAATGTTTTCCCTTTGATTGGCATTCGGTGACTGTTACTGAAAGACGGCTGCGATGCTTGTGAACGTTACCCTTTTGTAGGATCCATTCCCCAGTTGTTGGTATCTTTTGGCGGTCAGCATATTTTTGTGTGGACCAAAATCCGCAAAGAGAAGTTTCACTCACGGTCAATATTGTCCTTTCCCCATGCGATACGTTTGTTGACGTGTTGTTGATGCCGCATTGGTTTTTCCGGCGAAGCACATCGCCATTTTAAATTATTTCCACGTAATTTTCCTGGATACTCGCATGTATATCAAGTCCGGTTTGCTATAATTTTATTTGTATTTGACACAAGGACAAGCGAGAATTCCTTGATTCCTTAGCTTTTCGACATTTGTAGTTTTCTTTGTCAATGAAAAACAGGTGTTAATATTCAATTTTTCCAAAGACAAAAGCTCTAGCTAACGGTATAAAATCTATTGTTGATCACGTGATCTAATCGCAAGTAATTCTCTAAACGTTCTTACATATTTATGTACTTGTGAAAAAATTATAAACATTTATCTTATAATTTAAATTCAGATCTGTGGGTTATTTGTGCCAATAAATAAACAAAGTATTTAATTGATTAAATTATTTATCGCAGTTGCTACTTAAGCACGCCAATTATTGTTATTTATTTCCCTTGTTCCAATACTAGATTAAATATATGGAATTTCAATTTATTGGTCAAGTATTTACACATGGCTATCTGGGCAATTTTCTGGGAGCTATTACAATGAGCTGTGTCACGAACTATGTACCATTTTAATTTAAATTACTTTAAAACGGTTGGTATTTTGGTAATTAATTAGAAAAATAAACTTGAATGAAATACAACAGCAAGACTGCTGCTCCATTTCAGTTAAAATGATTGGAAAAGTTTATTTGCATGCAGAGCTCAATATGGAAATATTCAGTAAATATATTTGTGGGTCTCAAACAAATGCAATTCGGTTGATGCAGCAGACTGTAAATTACTCATAAATACGAAACTATTGCACATGATGTTGAACATTATATTGCCACTTGCAGCACCTGTGCTATAACGTGTGTGTGTGTGTGTGAGTGTGGATGGTGTGTATGCATGAAAGTAATTGAAATTAAAATTGGACTCTTTTCATGTACACTTATTTTTGTAGGTGCTCCATTTTGGTGTCTCTTCGATATTGTGCCCATTAAAAATGAGAAGCGCGATGTTGTCCTGTTCTTGGCATCGCACAAGGACATTACGCATACGAAAATGCTGGAGATGAATGTGAACGAGGAATGTGATAGCGGTAAGTATATATATATATATTTAAATATAAAAAAGCGAAGCCATGCTCGTCCTGGCAATAAAGAATCAAATCACTGCCAGCATATTAATATAAGTAATGCATTTTTCATTTGATATAAAAAAGAGATTTTAAAAACTGCGCGCACAAAGTAACAAGCCAATTAACAAGACCACACATCCGCACACCACACCCACATACAAGTATCCACATATCCACACTACAAAATGATCAAAAGGCACAAGAATGTATAAAACATAGTGTTGTGTTGTGTAAAAAAAATAGATTGGAACCACCTACACACGCTTGATTATTACAAATGGAAATAACATTGCAAAATAATGGTTAACCAACACCCACTCTTGAAATAATAAACAAGCGCGCTTGTGGCCGCTGTGTTGCTGAATTAACATTTCACTTTTTGGTGTATGTGTCAGCATGTCAATATATTCACAACTTATGACCCTCACTGCCCTACTACTTCACAGAATTGTAGAAATGTTCACCACCTTCCTTTTTTTGTTTTTTGGTTAGTCTGGCCAAGGTTTGTTTGTTATTTTGGCGTTTGACGCTTCTGCGTGACAAGAAAGTGTATTTGCATTGCCACGGCAAACTCACTTTTCAACCTGCAGTTTCTGTTTGTGGCTCTCTGTGCGCAAGCCGTATAATAAATAGTACGCTACTTCGAAACTAAGTTTGGGTTCTTAGAATTACAATTAACCTTCACTCAAGTTATGAAAACTGAATTAGAATTACAGTTCCTAGAAGTAGAATTGATTTCGCTTAACTTATTAGAGCTAGTTATGCTGTGAAATCAAACGTATACATGCAATACATTTCTGTATGTTTCATTGTTCTGAAATATTGGTATTTCAGCTGGATCTTCATCACTTGTTAGCTAATCTGAAAATGTTTTGGCCTGTATTTTACTTCGGAAAAACTTTGACACCTGGATCTTTGATTAGTCCTCTGCTCAATAGTCTGTTATTTGTCGTTTCAATTCCTCGAGATAATCTTCTCAAAAGCGTTTATAGCAGGTTCTGTGATTGCTATACATTATTGCCTATTGTTATATAATAGAGGACCACTCACAATTCAGCCTGTCACTATAAATATGTTCATTACAAGTTTGATAACTCATTTAATAATTGTTTGTTTCGTTGTCAGTCATTTAATTATAAAAAGAGAGGCTCTCAAATCATTTTTGATCGTTTGGCGTTTGGTAGTTGTTGCCCAAATTATATTGCCTTTTAAATTATTCATTTAAAAATCATAGCAACTACAAGTACGTTGCTGTTATCAGAAAGTTTTGTCAATTTATCTAAGCTTGTGATAGCTATGTAGTTTTCTTCATTATCTCTTACACCAATGGGCATAATTTTCCATGAATAGCTTTATTTGGCTTAAGTATCATGGCTTGAGTGTCTCTTTCAAATATTCGTCTATACCACAGAATCAAATATGCGAACAATCTAATTAAGCAAATTAGTTTGTCAAAGAACTTTTTGAGTGGCTGAAAGCACCGCAGGGAAAAGAGAAAAATTTCTTTAGTTTAGTTTTTTTTTTTTCTTTAAATATTGATAGAAGCTGAGACAGCAGTGGTCCCAACAATTCAATTATGTGAAGTGAAAATAAACAACAGGTAAAGCATTCTCCGAGTACAAGTACATCGAAGCAGTCGTACAAATAAATTTATGCGTGTAGGTCATTGCACATTCAACTAATTCGCATTTCTACGCATGCAGAAGCTTGTGAGCAAGCTTTGTGGAGCACTCTGAACTGTGGAAGTCTGGAACTCTGGCATTTTGAGCATCTTTCATTTGCAGTTTTATTACCTTCATTATTCATGAAATGTTGTTGCCGTGCTTGTTTGTGGTTGTGCAGCCATGGAAAAGCCAGAACATGAACAGAAAATTGGAAGAAAAATGTTCAAAATGCTGCGCTTGAGTGTCAGAAGCATTTTTCTCACACCAGCTTCATTCATGTCAACATTAAAGGCCAGATTCAAGACCAGCGAGCACATGCTTTAGCTCTAAATTTGATTTGATGTGTCGGTCAAAACAATATACTTGTATGTAGTTTCACTGAATAAAGATTTAAGCGAGTTTTTCATTTCAAATTTGCATTTAACGCTCGACTTGTGCATGCAAATTTATATGTGTTACCCATATATGGATGAATATATTTGCACAAGCTGACAACGAGCCCGTATGTTTATTACACATAACACACTGATGGCACTCGTGTATTTTTTCATACAAGTATACACCATCTCGTAGATGTGAAGTGTTTCTGGGTAAATGGCATGTACAAGTAGTACTAAAAAAATTTGCATTTTACGAGGCACAAGATTTTGTAATAAATCTCATTAATTCCAGTAAGGCGCACAAGTATAAAATAATTACAATGTTGACGTGAAGATCAGGTGCTGATTATGTCAAATAATACGAGTACGCAATTAAAAATAAATCATTCCAAGCAACCGCTGCGTATACGCAACAGTCTTGTTGTGAATTCGTGCTATTTGCGATTTTATGCAAATGAAATTAAATCTTTGCTAATAAAGCTTGACATTGCGCAACGCATTTCTGGCATGGGACTGAGTCAATGCCCAAAGCAAATCCAACTGTGTGCGCACCGAGTGGAAAATTGAGTGCTGATCCACATCAATTGGAAATTAATGCGTGTCAAAATGCCACGGAGCGAGTGGGGCGCTGACAGGCGCGTGCGGCATAACAATGGAACGGGAAAATAAGCAGAACCGTTACTGTGGGCAGCGAGTTAATGAGCAGCATTAGGAAAATGGAAAAGCATTTCAGCGACTGAACGAGTATCACAAACATTTTCTTTTGCTTTATTATGCATAAACTGTAGCATAGAATTATGGGCAACTGCTTAATCTTTGACTTGACATTAGCAGACATCGCTTTATACTTGTACTGCTGGTAAATATATTTATATTCTACTATTTCGATTGAGCCAAATTATGAGATCAATTTAAGTGTCAAATGCCGCCATACTCAACACTTGGCTGACCAGCGGCATTTCACACATCATTAGTCACTATCAGAATTTTATACTTACCGGAAAAGTGTCTCAACATTACGCCCGTCAGTTTTGCTGTTTTTGTTGTTGTAAATGGCATTAAGCCCACGTGCAACAAATGTCCCAACGCGTACATTGCCGCCTGCTGTTTGGCATCCGCTTCGTTCCACTCGAATGATTCGCGCATATTTTGCATTTGCTTTCCTTCATTTTTTTCTGTTTACCGAAAAGCTTCGAGTAAATGTGTCCTGATGTTCGCTGATAATCAAATAAAACCGTTTCTGAGCGCATCGAATGAAGTATCTTGAATGTAAGATGACACTTCGGACTGACTGCTTTCAATTTCAAACCTTTGACGTCATCTTGACTAGTTGTATGAACAAATTATTTAAATATGGCAGTTAGTTATTTCAACAAATAAATTGCTTAAAAATTGAAAACAATTATTTTTAAAGGAAATTTTTAAAAAAATTTAAAAAATGGTTTTGAAAAAAAAAAACTAAAGACTTCATTTTACAAAATTGTTTAAATTGTTGACAAATACCACATAGGGGCATTTAACTTTCGGTGACGAGGACTTATAGGACATTTTTCTATGAAATATGCGCACTCTACTTGCCTTTTCAGCTGGAAACCTTGGCGAACTTTAACATGTAGACATTTTTTTTGCTCGTCCAGGTAACTTATGGGATCATTGTAGACAGTCCGGCTTGCTTAATTGGCATTTTGATATGACAGGCCGATACTCTGGGTGCCAGGAAAACGGCTTCAAAATGGAAAATAACTTTCAGCTTGGGTCGTTGGTTGTAAAAGCCCGTCAGCAAGGAACGTTGGCGTACAATTTGCAAAGAATTTTCTTTGCTTTTGTTTTTTGTGTTTATTTTATGAATTTTGTCAGTAACATGGCAAATTAAATCCTTTTAATTAATATGGTCGGGTAGAGAAGGTATAAAAAAATTTGAGTAATCTTATGTAGGACTCTTGCTTCCTGCTTCTCGCCTTTTTTTGTTTTTCTCTTTTAGTGCAATTTTTCACAATCAGGCTAATTGTAATTTATAGCATTATGCGCAATACGACGCTGCCTCAAGGTGGACACAAATAGAATTAAGTTAAATTTAATGGTCAGCTTGCTTGAACTTACTTGTGTTGTTGTGTTGTGCCTTTGCATAGCCCACGCTTCATTTCAGTCTATTTACATATCAAATATATTTTCAGAAATTTGTGTTCTCTGAAAACTGAAGCGACAAGTCCTTTTTATGCCCTTCTATTTTCCGCAATTTGGTTTTAGGGCGCAAATTGTTGAGTTTATTAGCCTGATTTTCAATTCCTATTTACGGCACACGTTATTTTTAGCCTCTTTGGGGTTTTGTTTGCCTGCTTGGGCAAGCATACCATTATTGGCCTGAATTGTGGCAGTTCGAACTACAAATAAGCTATAAACAAATATGAGTGTTGCTTTAGTTCTTGGAACTTGTTGAAAATATAAAATAAAACATTTTAAGTCTATTCGTTAAGCTACGTAATTAAATATTTGTAACATCAAACGGATACTAATTACATATTTAGCCTAAAATATTTAGCTGGAATGGCAAAAATGGCGTTTAAAGCCTACTTTGTTTGAAAGAATATTTGTATATAAATATACTTCGTTTGGCCTGATTTATCAAAATCTAGTTAATTACCTGTCTGCTCATTTTTGACAAAATATAGAATTGAATTCAATTGAACTTGCTACAGAAGCACATCTGCAAACAATGTGTGTTTTTTAATATTTCTGACCAATAGCTAGGACGAAATTAAATTTTTTGTTTCTGAATTACATAACTATAAATTAAATTCAAATTTTAAATTGTTGGTGTGTAATATTACAATTGTTTCAAAACTGATACAGTATTTTTGGGAACAGGACTCATTTAAAAGCGAGTGAAGTATTAAAGTTATCTCAGCCCGACTCTGGAGTATATTGAATATATCCCTTTACTCGCTGCTGCCATTCAACCAATTATTCGCATGTCAGCCGTATAGTAAGGGAGATAGCTTAAGGTGATAAATAGGAGGCGTATAAAAAGATTACACTTTGTTTGTCTTATCAAGTTTGATTTTCGAAGCTGAAGAGTAGAGGGCTTACAAATGATCATAAAATAAGTGAATAAATCAGTTTAGACAATCAGAAAAAATAAGGAAACTGAACTTTTCATCAAGACGCTCAGTCTTTCAACCATGGCTATCATTAAAAAATTTACGCACAACAACACGCTCTTATATACATTTTTATATTACATTACATTACACAGGAGCAGAAACATACAGAAACAAAAATATTCAGTGTTCTTTGTGCCTAAAATATCAAATTTATAAATATACAAATATATGTCTATTTCTTTAAATATGTATGTAGTTGCAATTGTTGACGTTTAAATATGCATTTAATTAATTAAATACATGCAAAATAAATAGATATACGTATCAAAATTTTAAATATATTTGATTCAAAAGTATTTGTAAAATTTTCGTATTTTCTTTCTTTTCGCTCTTTTTCCCACTCTATACGTAATCTTTGTATTGTTCGAAACACATTTCACTTCACCACCCACATGATTGCTAAAATAACAAAAAAAAAAAAAAATGAAATTAATTGATATACCCACAACTTTTGCGCTCATTACTTCGATTTTATGTTATTTTTGGTTGCGACTCTCTAAGTTTTTGCCCTTACAGCTGCACTGTTGGGAGCGCGATTTCGCGCCGGTTCCAATGCTGGTATGCTTGGATTGGGCGGCTTGCCTGGCTTGGGTGGCGCTGCGGCTGGGGACAGTGATGCGGAGGGTGGTGAAGGAAATAATTTGGATGTACCTGCTGGCTGTAACATGGGGCGACGGCGAAGTCGAGCGGTTCTGTATCAGTTATCCGGTCATTACAAGCCCGAAAAGGGCGGTGTCAAAACCAAATTGAAGCTGGGCAATGTAAGTATGACAAGCGTAGAAGGAGCAAGAACACTAACAACGAAATCGTTGGCCTTAGTTTAAATGGCGGCGTCAGATTCAATTAACTGTGAATCAGTTTAAATTTGGGTTCGCCTTTAAATTTGCCGGTCCTACGTGAAGTTTTGTTTGCTAGTGGACTGACGAGCCCATATTCCATTCATTTTAATGCGTGCATTGAATTAAGACTGTATGCCAAACTAATCCTTTTGTACAGTGAATTTTATTTACCTTTGAAAACTTTCCACTTGTAGAACTTCATGCATTCGACCGAGGCTCCATTTCCTGAATACAAAACGCAATCGATAAAAAAGTCACGCTTGATTTTGCCCCATTATGGCGTTTTTAAAGGCATCTGGGACTGGATAATACTGGTAGCGACATTCTATGTGGCTCTTATGGTGCCCTATAACGCGGCCTTTGCCAAAGCGGATCGTCAGACGATGGTCTCCGATGTGATTGTGGAGGCTCTATTCATTGTTGGTATGTATTAGTTGAGGCAATGGCAACTGGCTCAGTCATTTATGGTTTGTTGATGTGTTTTCCTTTCTGGCCCTTTTGTTCTTTGCATTTTCATTTGCCTTGTTGGCCTTTTGTTACATTTACGGCCAACCTGTTGTGTCCGCTCATCTTCATCAGTACAAGTATCATCATCAGCATCATTCTTAGCCTTCAGCTTCAGTGCTTCTGTATTCATTTATGTTCATTGGGGAAATTGAATTTGTTTCTTGTTGCTTAATAAACGTTTATGTTGTACTCCCCCTGCTGCACGTCTTGATATCACGCATTGCTCTTATTTTTATTGCTCTTTTATTGCAGATATTTTGTTGAATTTTCGCACGACCTTTGTCTCGCGCAAAGGTGAAGTTGTCTCCAATTCCAAACAGATTGCAATCAATTATTTTCGTGGCTGGTTTGCTCTTGATTTATTAGCAGCTTTACCCTTTGATCATCTGTATGCTTCTGACTTGTACGATGGCGAGGTAAGTTTTCATTATTATTATTAATCTATCGAACTGACTCGTTTATTATTCGGTATTTACGTTACTCTTTTAATTAAAGAGCAATATGTAATGAGTAGAAAATGTATTTTATCGAATATAATTGTATAATTATTGAATGCGTGGGATTTATGAAGGGACATTTAATGTGTTATAAAATGTCATTCACTTATGCGGGACTTCATTGCTGTTCAGTTGAATTGTTTATACCGGCAGACAGCACTGAGCGTCTCTGGTTGGAATTAAAAAGGAAGGGAAGTAAACAATTTAATTAAATATGGCATAAGAAGTAGGTATAAATAATAATGAGAAGGTATTAAAAATGAAATGGATAATAATGTTTGATACATTTCGACCAGTGATACGACTTCCAGAACGGTCTTCAAAAGATAAATAAGTAAAGCACCTACATATGTCACCTTTTGGATTTTTGGTTGAACTAACACTTTAAAAGATTTGTTAAATGTCATGAATAGTGATTTATTTATTTACTTAACATTTAATATAACTTTATATTATACACTTTGAGCATTGTCATCCTTTGCCGTTAAATTCTGTTTCTGCCCAAGGGTTTCCTACTGCTTATTTACTTGACGCTTTAAATATATAATTTATGAAAGAAATCCTGTTTCTATGTTACGTTTTTGTTTATGTTGAATAATTCAACTTGTGATCATAAGCAACTACTTACTTAACATTTAAGCCACACTTTAAGTAAGTTTCATCGTTTAGTAAATGGCATTTAGGTGATTTGCATAAAACAGTTTGTCGCATGCATAATTCTTGGTTGCCAGCTGTCAACTCCTGGCAGTTTTGTCACAGGAGGGACCAAATTGTGTACGAAATAAAGTCAAAACTCGTTTATCATGCATAGCCGCAGAGCTTGTTGGATGTTCGCATTTGAAATGTGCTTGCCTGTCAAAGAAATTTTCACTTTTTCAGCGATACAAATCATTTTTAATTCACATTCCAGAGGCTTCTCTTCCTTGTCCCTTTTACGACAGTGCGATACGCGCCAACTGAACTGGATACTCAGCAATTTTAGAGTGCACTTGCGGTCATTAAGCTGATTACTTGGCCCCATGGACAACGCGTTTCCCGCCATGGCGACCTCTTTCGCTATTGTGCTGTTTAATATAATTATAAACTGCGACTACCATAGTGCACTAAGAATAGCGCCGACGGTGGCGCAACTAGTACGGTGTGACCTAAATGTACGAAAATTGAATTTACCCTGAAAAGTATGCTATGAATAATATATTTAAGAATCAAACGCTTCGAAGTATTATCACATTGAAAGAAGCAGTAGTGCATTGTGCAATTAAAACGCAATTGCTGATGTCTGCTATCTGCCCAGCACGGCAGCTACGACTGCTAGAAGCCTTGGTCGCGCAACACTTGAGGCAATATGCGGTACTTTGCTTTTATTACATTTCATTGTTATTTTATTTGTCAATCTTCTCTCTTTCTTTGCACAGTTGTTGCGTGCTTGAAGTGGTCAACGTTGTCGCGTTGATTGTCTGAGACACTGTCTGGTAAAAAACTAACAAAACAAAAAATTAAAAGAATGGAAAAATAAAGAGAAAAACCGCGCTGGCGCCTTTATTGACGTTTCAAGGGCATTGTAACAGCGCCTAAGCTGGTGTCTCTTAGCTTCCCTCTGTCCGTCTAGATAGAAAAGAAAAAACACAGAAATGTAATCAAAAGCATAGTTGTTGGTGCGTTATGCCATTGTGCTCTAATGCGTCGCGAATTTGCTAAATTTAAACACATTTTTCTCATCGATTTTTCGAATTCTCAAGGCTCGGACAGAAAATATTTACTCTGCCCACATTGCTTGCTTTTGCTGCCTTTTGATAAAATAAAATGATATTAAATAGAAATCATTTTAGTTGCTTCGTTGACTTCCGCATTTATTCGTGACAGATACATTCTTTGTACTTAAACTAAATCACAGAAATCAGAAAAGTAAAAAAGAGACAAAGCTTGTTGCTTACTTTGTGAAAAACCTCCCGCGGCAAGGCAACGGAGACCATTCACTTAAATCTCAGTGTCTGCTAAGCTGTCCGGTATTTTCCTAACTTTAAACAAATCCTTAATGTGCTCTAATTGCAAATATTGTATGCCGGAAAGTTATAAAGTAGTAAAAACACATTTAAACCTCGACACAGCTCAAGGCGAAAAACATTTTGAACGTGCGTGCAGAACTTTGTAATATTCTTGCGTGTATCTTCCATTTTCTGCCCAACATGTAAGCCAGCTTTTTATTTTTTCAGCTTTCCGTGAATAATATTTAAGCTAATGCACCCGAAACGTGGTATAAATTTAGTTCGTTCCAAAGTTTTAATTATTTTGGAGACATAAGTGGCAACAGGCACCGAGACTGCGAGTAAATCGTGCCTTTGACAACTGAGTTGGTGTATGTGGCTGTGCTTGTGCGTGTCCTTGGTACCGGAAACGGAAGTTTCCATGACACCGACTCAACTTGGTCACAAAGTAAATGTTGTAAAAGGCGAAGCGGCACGAAAGTTTTTTAAGAAAGCAAAACTGAAGCAACACAAATGCAACATGAATTGCAATTATATTACATGCGAGGGCAGTTCAAAATGTTTCTAGCCACGCCATGAAGAGGACCTCTTATATTAACCCAAAATTAATAAAAAATCAACATTTGATTATTTAAGTCGACATCAGTGCTTGTGTAAAAGTGGATAAAATGGAATATCAAGAGTTCAATATCAGTCAAGAGATATTTGTTTGAAAAGTTTTTCTTAAAACCAAATTTTGCTTGGATACAGAAAACAACCGTTTTGAGGAGCATAATAATTTTTGGACGTGTTGAAGAGGTGAGAGCATCCCTGGAAGAATTGTATTGTGTAAGAAGGAAGCTACTTTGAAACTGTTGTATCATGGTCAGGTTGCAAACACTTAGGGCTGCCCTCGTATTATACTATATAACGTGTAGGATTTGCCGCTTTAATGTCTGTCGCCCACACTTTTGTATGTCAAACGCTTAAAGGAAAAATCATATGTACACATGTATTCTACCATGACGCGTTTTTTTCTAAAGAAAGCTTTATTTTTCAAATGGCAATAGTTGAGGAGTAGAGGAAGTGAGCTTTAAAAAATTTACTTTGAATTATTATTTATTTTTTCTTATAAAAAAATGATTTACAATTTATTGAACCAGTATTCTGCTACCAATGTGTCAGATTTTGCTATTCCATAGTTCACATCTAAAGGACACACTTAAATTTATGTAAATACTATATATAATGAAAAATTAAAATATTATTAAATTAGATATGAAACATATTTTATGATATTATATATTTTACACTAGAGATCTCGTGGGAGATCCTTTTTCATAATCTTCGCATTCCGGGTCTGGAGAGCAGCCGTCTCGCTAGTGCAGGAGAACCAAAATAGTGAAACTAATAGATTTTTGGGATTATTTGAGACCTCTCTGAATTCGCTGCATGCGCTCGTCACATAGTCCTTTTATGTTCTGATGCTGCTGCTGGTGTAGTTGCTATTCAAGGAAAAGCCGCTTGACAAGCCCGCTTGCTACCATTTTATTCGTGCTTTGTACATTTTCAGTACGTTTATTGAATTTGTTGCAGGGCAGCTGCTTTTGGGTTTATTTCAGTGCCTCAGTTGATAATGCTTCAAACGCTATACGTACGAGTATATTAAAAAAAAAACGTTGCTGACGGCAGCGTCCAATTTGAACGCACATTAGGCAACGCCTCGTCAGTTTCACGACTTAACTTTATAATCATAAAAGTACAAAAAATTGGTCTGTAGTTGGCAGCCAAGCAACTGTCGGACGACCAGTTCGTAACTGGCCATAATTTTAAATGGCGACAACGGGGGCGTAATGTTGTTTATGTCTGTCAGTGTTGGCCACCTCTGTGCGTGTGTCTGTGTGTAAATTAACCTTCATTCTGCTCAACGTAAAAGGTTGCCCTTTTTCTGGGTAACTATGCCTTGATTTTGCGCCACAGCACTCGTTTAGTTTGTTCTGTCGTTATGATCGTTTCCTTTTTGATTTGTGTTGATACCTTTTATGAAGTAAATAGAAAGGCCGGAAGTATATTTTGTATGTGTCTATTTATAATTTAACAGGAATTTATAATATATAACTAAAGATCCAATAAGCGTGTAAAAATGTGAGCTAATTAAATTTATATTAATTTCGAAGTGACATAAATTTGGAGCCCTAAAAGTAAGGCACAAATATATTTCGCTTAACTGCGCAAAATCTCAATGGATAGCTGAAATTTTGACAAAGCTGGTGAACCTTCTGTAAGGTACAAAATTAACGAATTAAGCAGACATTTTTTGGGCGCGCTTAAAGGTCAACTGTTGTTTGACATGAAAGTTACATACGCCTTTATTTGCATGGTCAACATGGCTGGCTTTTACAGAATGTCTGAAAAGTCCTTTGAAACTGTCCGTATCGTGTACCATCAACACGAGCCCATGCAAAATGGCGTATCGAAAATGCGTACACTTGAAGAAAAATTATCAAAGTAATAGATAGTGTTTTGTTTACAACTTCTCACCATACGTTGCTTGTTGTTTGCTTTTATGTTTAGGAACCTCGGTCCATTTCGATGGGTAACTTACTATACTTGTTATGTCACTGCTCTCAGAAAGAAATGGTTGAATTCTCAAGATATTATATCATAAGTATAACCATCATCAGTCGACGTTTTCGAAAAGAACTCTAGAATTGAGCTGCGAGAATATTCGGCTTCAATAAAGTTAATCATAATCTGCTAATTGTTTCGAGCCTTTAATAGTTGTTGGATGGAAAATTTTGGCTATAATAAAAATAGATTTAAATATGTTTTTATTTGTTTTTAAAATTATTAATTAATAATAAATACAAAAATAAAAATAGTAAAAGATTAAAAATGCTTGACTGTTTTTAAAAATAGTCGCATTAGTCTAAAAATGAAAACAAAAGGGTCAGCATTATTTCGTTTTGTACTCATGGCATTCAAAACTAAAATAAATATGTTTTGTTTCTAACGACCAGATATTTACATATTAGTGGCAGAGAGTATGAGTACTAGTTTTATAAGTACGTGTACATTGTTCAGCAATTATTGGCAGAATATTGATATTTTACAATTGCTCTTCTTTCTATATTTTTTCGTTAAATAGCATTATTAACTTGGTCCAAGTTGATTAATGTTTGCTCGAAAACAATCTTGAAATTGGAGTGTACATTTGCGTATTTTGATGGGAGATGTTTTTTTTTCTCTTTTGACATTTTCCATGCTTGTTTACCACCATGGATACATAGTGTTCGCTTTACTATTAACGATGCATCTTTCATCCTACACACATAGGAATCACACATTCATCTTGTCAAATTGACGCGTTTGTTGCGCCTGGCGCGGCTGCTGCAAAAAATTGATCGATACTCTCAGCACACGGCCATGATTTTGACGCTTCTGATGTTTTCATTTACGTTGGCGGCCCACTGGCTGGCCTGCATTTGGTACATCATAGCGGTAAAGGAGTACGAATGGTTTCCCGAGAGCAACATCGGTGAGTATGGACATGACTAAGGGCTGGGCATCCAACATAGTCAGGATGGGCACACTGTCACACGGTCACACATGTTGACTTGTTTAGGTCCCTTAGTTGGACAGTAATTTGGTTAGTTGGCCGGCAGACTGGCCAACGGCGTTGATTGTGTTTGCACTGCACGTCAAATGTCGAAATTGTATAGCTTCGGGCATAAGCACCACACACAGCTACAGGTACATACATACATACATACATATACTATACACATACGAGTACGTACTACATAAGGTACTAGAGCTGCAGCCTTGGCATTGACTTTGGCTTTCAAATGCGCAGCGCGCCGCAAAGTTTAAAGCATGCATAGCTTTTTTGATTAGACCCATTTAAATGCAAAGTTTTGTGTTTTGAGGCAGCCGCTTGCTAGAAACTTCCACATAAAATCAAATTAGCTTTTATTGTAATTTAAATGCATGTGCCTGTGTGTGTGTGTATTTGTGTGTGTGGACTTGAAAAGTTTTTATTGTAATTTGCACATTTATTTATGCGTTTGCCACTTGTGCGCTCCAGTTGTTCTTACTGTTCCTGCCTTACCAAGCAAACAACAACAGAAGTTAGCGAACATGCCCCCAGATACTAGGCGGGAAAACGCTCCCCATGTGTGTGTGTGTGTGTGTGTGTGTGTGTGTGTGCGAGCCTGCCTTGGAACAAGCAACAAATTGCCAGTTACTTTTCACGTCAATATGCTGCAAGCATGATACATTCGTGTGATAGTATCTTTTGTGCTAGAGAAAGATGGAAGATTAAAGCAACAAATGTCAGCGGCAGAGCGAAGTTGTTTTTCTTTCTTTTTTGGTAAACACCAAGGGATTTGTCATGCTCTATATACATACATACATACCTATGTGTATATGTACGAGTATATATATATATAAATACATATTTGGGAGATGTCGTGACATCTTACAGTCCGCTGACTAGCTAACTGACTGGCAGACTGAAGGATACAAGCATACAAAAGTATATACATATACATATATACATACTCAATAATATAGACGCTAGGCCAAAACTTATACCAATTACGCTGCAGATTTTCATTTCATTTTGGCCAACTCATCACAACTTTGGAAATCGTGCGTCAATTTAATAACTGCAATTCGTTTCCCGCATTACCATTAATCTACTCGCATGTGCCTTCCACGTTCGGCACGTATATAAGTACTAACATACATATGTACATATAAATATAAATTCATACATATATGCTTTTCGTATATATGTGACTTACTAAATGATTTCTTTCGATTTTCTTTTTCTGCTCATTAAAATCTTCAAGTGTTGCTTACAGGTTGGCTGCAGTTGCTTGCCGAACGTAAGAATGTCACCGTGGGGATGTTGACAACGGCTGAGACTTATTCTACGGCGCTATATTTTACCTTTACGAGTCTGACATCGGTGGGTTTTGGCAATGTCTCGGCGAATACAACGGCTGAGAAAGTGTTTACTATAATTATGATGTTGATTGGTGGTAAGTAGAGATCTTCTCCAATAGTTAGCAATACACTTGGCGTTTGATTTATCGTCGAGATGTGGAAGTGGGTATATACATACTAAATGTACATGTATATAGATAAATACATATACAACATGAATGTATTTCCTTTAGTAACATTAGAAGATTATCAGAAATCACACGAAATGTCAAGATGTTTCTAGAGCCATTGCGAAAAGTTTAAAGACACCTGATGGGGATAAAAATCTTTAAGATTTTGACAATTAACTTAAAGTGAAGAACTTTCGTTAATTTATATTTTTTTATTTATTATTTTTAAGACAGACCTGAATTTTGGCATTTGTTTTTTAATTTTCAACAATGGACTGCAGTTTTCCTCAGAAGACACATCAAAATATAGTATGTTTGGTGGAATTTGAACAAATCATTATTAATAACAGAAAAAGATAATTAATAATTACAAAATTGGGAAAATTGAAAGGAAAATACTTATGTGTATAAATAAGTCATCCGGTTAGAGAACGTTACATAAACTATTTATATTTTATTCAATAAAATTAAACAAATTAAATTCCTTGTATTAAGGAAATTGGAAATTGTTGTAGACGGTCGTAGTAAATTGATTTTTAACTCGATTTTCTGACTCAGCCGGTAGTTTCACTGAGGATGCTGTAAATAAGGATTGCAAGCTTTTATTTCAAGCCATATACTTAATGAGTATTGCTGGCCCTTTTCAATTTATTTATTATTATTTATTAATTTTAAGACAGACCTGAATTTTGGATTATGTTTTTAGTTTTCAACAACAGACTGCCGTTTTCCTCAGAAGACAAATCCAAACATGTTTGGTTGAATTTGATTAAACCATTATTAATTACAGAAAAAGATAAATATAATTACAAAGTTGAGAAATTGAAAGCATAAAGAACGATAAATAAACTGTTTATAGGATATTCAATTAAATTAAAAAAAAAATTCGTTGTGTTATGGAGGATATTGATGCAGACGGTCGTAGTAAATGAATTTTTAACTCGATTTTCTGACTCAGCCGGTAGTTTCACTGAGGATTACAGATGCTGTAAATATGGATTGGAATCATATATTTCAAGCCATATTAAGCTTATGTGTATGTGTATTGCTGGCCCTTTTCATACACAAGTAGTGTGGCCAATTGTGGACAAGGGAAAGCAATAACCTGGTTGTGAAATGTGCTAACTTAAACGAATCATATTTGCACATAAATCATTTATAAGTTTCCTTGCTTTTATTTCCCATTTCCCAGCGCTCATGCATGCCGTTGTTTTCGGTAACGTGACGGCCATAATACAACGCATGTATTCACGACGTTCGCTCTATGAGAGCAAGTGGCGTGACTTAAAGGATTTCGTTGCATTGCATAACGTAAGTAGAAAAGGCTCTGTGCGTGGGTGGGTGCAGCTCATCAACTCTCAATAGCTATGCACAAGTGGGTTTAGGAGCAGCACACCAACAACAACAATACTATACAGCTCAGCAACAACTGTGCCGTTATGAAATCTGCTATCGCAAATCAATTTGCAAAATCACCGGCCATACCAAGAGCGATACGCGTACTTGTATAACCATTTCAACCGTAACCCTCGATGGCCGCCCAAGTGTCGGCTCCTGCACGTGTCCATGGGTTCGCAATATGCGGTCGTCGAGAGCTGAAGTGTTCATCTCTGTTCTTCTCTATTGGATTGCACGGCCCTGTTTGGCAAATGCCATGCAACATTAGGCACAGGCAGGACGATCAGAATTGCGCTTGCAATATGAAACGCAGACGCTTAAGGCCTTCATGAGAGCATTGCTGTGGTCCTGGCTGGAGCAACTCAATGGCATGAATCGAGTACAAATCAATAATTTATTAGAATAGCAGACAGAGACACTCACGATATCAATAGAATACACTCGTTCTTTTGCTGTCCAATTTTATTGCGTTTCAAGGAAATTAAAGTTAGCTCAAATAAACAATTGCTCGGATCGACCTTGAAATATAACTAATTATAGAAACTAAGAATGGAAATGGATGAAGAGAAGTTTTTTGCTGTTGCCAGGTCTGCATGCCTGAGTGGTCGGGTAACTTTTGAGTTATTCAGAGTGCCACCATAATCTGAAGTTTTATAAACATATAGTATATTTCTGCTGTCACAAAAGTAATTTTTTGTATAACTTTACTGAAGCTTACTAACTTAATAAACAAGTTGAGTAGTTCTTTTCAGTTTTTTGAAGAAAATTAAATATTTCATTAATGTTGCAATTCCGTTTACTCATTCATTTCTCTTCATTTCTCTACTAATTCTTGCAACGTTGTTTTCGTTTATTAAAAATTCGGATTGGCTATCGTTCGTTTTCGTTTAACAATGATATAACTGATTTACCTATTTACTGCTTACTATTTAAAAAAAAAAAAAAAAAAAAAAACAACAGAAGGAAGGGTTAAGTGAACAAGTCCACTCTGGGCTATGCTCGGATTAAGGTTTTTGATTTTAAGCAAGTTCAAGGGACCTAATGGTTGGAGTTTTCAATATTAGGTGGGCATGATTAGTATTTTTATTGGCCAAATGGATATTGCGTTTTCATATTCTTCTGATAAGGTGCTAAACTTAAATGCACGGATTTAATGCTTATATTAAATACAGAAAAATATTCTTCTGATACTCAGCTGTAGAAATAGATGTGAAGAGATTGGACCAATCATAGCACTTTTTAAAGCCATTTAATATTACCTGTATTAGTTGAAATGCGACTAAAAGACATCCCTTGGTTTCCCCAAATATGTTTCATTCATTCTCGTCATAATAAAATTCAATAGAATTAAATAAAACTCAATTCACTACTGGGCCAGTGCCGTAAAAAGGATGTGTGTACACGTATACGTGATGGTTGCGTAATCAAGAACCTTGCATTTCATACTGCCCTTAAGCGAATACGGTTGCATGCAAATTAAGGAAACCTGTACAAAATGCAATTTACATTTACGGCTAATTACAGAATATAGTTGTTAATTCTGTTGTACATTTTGTGTTGTTGTTGCCACTGGCAAAGGGCCAAACCAAATTAGAAGCCATTGTTAGAGAACACAATCTTAGTTAAATACTGATATTTGTTCCCTTCTTCTTTTACACTAACAGATGCCCAAAGAGCTGAAACAACGCATCGAAGATTACTTTCAAACTTCATGGTCACTCAGTCATGGCATTGACATTTACGAGGTGAGTAAACAGCACAATACGAGTCTGTATAGCATGAAGCATATATATGTGGAATTGTAATACACATAGGGAAAAAGTAATAAAGAAACCATAAGATCAAGAGATGTAAAGCAATAAGAACAGCATCGAAAGTAAAACACAACTTATTCAAGTAAAAATAATTTTCTGGAACATTAAAATAGTTTTTTCCAATACCAAGAATTTATATTCTAAGATCAAAGATTATTTGTCTTAGATTATTAGATTTCTTTTGACAAAGTATAAGTTCGATCTCAAAAATTTAAGGTGATTGCTTTGGAAATAATAAAAAGATTTTTAATGATTTAAAATTATTTTATTATTTTAAGATTGAATGAATATTTCACTATTTATATTAAACAAACATTAAACATCGGAATAAAATATTTGTTCGTTTATTAAAATTTTAGAATATATTTATATTTAGCTTGATTGCAAACTGAATTAAGTGATTTATTAGAAGCTGATATGTATGTATAAATTTAAGAAATTTAAAATATTTTTTCTGAGTGTACTTGTACACTTGTATGTTTGTATGCCATTTAAGGGACCATTAATGCTTTTTGCGGAATCGGAAAGTTTCTGCCTGAGCGCCAAATCTTCAGATAAAGGCGCTGCCCTCTTGATTTTCGAATTTCTCTATATATGAGTGAGCTGTTTGTCTGTCCATCACTCCATTTGTCTTCCAGGCCGTCTCTGGCTGTTGTTAATTAAACGAATGCTGGTAGCCGGCCATTCCGTATTGACAGACTGGCTTGTATATCATATTGATTGGCATGCGCAGGCTAAAAGTCAGTCTGGCTCGAGGATGGACCTTTGATTGCTCACATGTATCCATATTTCTGTGCGTATGTGTGTGTAGTATATGTGCATGTATTTGTTTTATTGTCCGTGCTTCTGACAGAGCATCTGCTATCTGCATCATTCAAAAATTCATATTTATACTCGTATGCGCCGTTGGAAATTTTTCATGAAAATACATTTTAATAAAATACTTATGCGGGCATATTGATTAATTGATATCGGCAATACACTTTTAATGCAGGTTCGATTGAACTTTAAGTTGAACATTTTTTGGTTATGAAGTCTGCACGTTACAAACCATACTATTTAGTAGCCCTTTATAGGGTTTTGGAGAACTACAAGAATATACTATAACTATTAAATCCGAATAGAACCACCGTTTGTTCTTCTTAGATCAGGCTGTTTATGAGGGGTTCGTCGATTGTCTATCTTCATATAGAACCTCATTAAAACACAATATTAATAGTTAAAAATAAAAATGAATTTAAATTGTTTAAAATATAACTGCTTTAATACATAAGTATATGTATGTATGTCTTGTCTTTTTGGTAGAGCTGCAAAAAGAAACGATACATAATCGATTTAAAAACTGCCAACAGCATTTTTATAATGGAAAAAACATAACACCAGTATCTTTATTTATTTTATTTATGAAGAAGCCATATACTATGTTTAAATTAATATGACTTAAGTATTATATTTCCTGAACTTTCGTCTCTTTATTATCTACGAAATAAATAAAATGTCCTATCAATTCTTCCCCTCCACATCTTATTCATATTTAAAATTGTATTGTGATATTTAAAAACATAGTTCAGTCATTTTTACTGCTTCTCATTGCATTGCTGTTGGACTTTTCCTTTGCGAAAACACTAATGTGTAACAAAAACACAGTTGTTTATGTTTCTAATGTGAACTTTGTTGCGCGAAAGAGCCGGCGTGGCACGCTCTTTTTGAGTGCAGTTCAGGACAAAGTTCGTCTTCCTCTGAAGAGCTAATACAGTTAGAGAACTTTTAGTTGCATCGGGCATGCAAAGGAGCATACAACCTGGTAGTGCTTTTGTAAAGTTTCAATTGCGAGGTGTGATTGGGGCTCAGGCAGCAGGGGAGCAATGCATTCAATTGGCAACACCACAAATTGCCACAAAGCGTGGAAAACTTTTCTTTCCAGAACTTTTCCGCATAAAAAGTAAAGGAAAAATGGTGAACAACAAAGCGCGCGCGCATTTAATAAATGAGTTGCATTTAGAGCCCTGCATTGTGGTATGACAGGTAAGAAGTCATTAATAAATTGCAAACTGCTAATGACTATAATCGTTAGCATGAAAGCAAACAGATACACGCATGGAAATTAAAAGTTGTAAAAAATTACTTCTTGCTTAAGCTTTGGGATTACAGTGCATACAAATGATCTTTGATGCCAAATTCTGCAAATAAATTGGTGCATTAGCTTGTTACCTGCCATTCAAACATTATAATAAGTTATGTTTGTGAATTGAATGGGAAGGAGTACCGTGAACAGTATCTCTCAACTTAACTCTTTTCCTGCTTTTGAAGTTGGCTTAATTCGCACTTGGCAGCTGCTACTTCCTGGTAAAAGAGCTTACCATGCTAAGAGGCAACAAGTTCATTTGTACTTCTAAGTCTGCAAGGCACACACTCGACTGATATACATAACTTCAATAAGACGTTGTGCAGGATTTGTGCACAAGCTGCTAATTACTGAAGTTGCTTATGTGCACGTGTATATCATATGTGAACTCACTTGCAGTCTATACCCTTCTATAAATAAACTTTGTAGTTTGGTTTAGGCATGAATGGATTTGCATGTAGTAAGAAGCCTCACAGTTGGAAGTTGAGGAACGCTAATACCACCTAATTAGTTGAGTTATATTACAAAGTTTCCGTTAATGCTTCAGGCATTACATAATAAAAACCGATATGTATGCTTGAGTTTTGCAGACGTATTGGATGGGAAAGGCGCACATCGTTACAATTATAACAGTCAATAGTACATTTATAGTAGTCGTGTGTTTGTTGCTTAGAAATTGTTTAAACAAAATTGAATTTAATTACGTTGAAAACATGAATTATTGTAATACGCCCACGGGCGTAACAAGCTGACACGTACAGACACAATAACATATTTATACGCATACATTTTCCAAACAGACATCAACAAAATGTTCGAGCAATATGCACAATGGCGCAAACTTTTCAAGCCGGCAGACAGCATGTTGGCAGTAAATTAAATTGTTAATTTATTGCGCACGAAAATTAACTGGCGAAACGTCAGACAGCCAACAACGCTCTTTCGCCACAATTCAAATACAGTAAAAATTCTTTAGCTGATATTAGAATATGTTGCTTTTCAATTTTATGCTCTTGCTGAGCTACCACAATTTTTTGTATTCATAACAAATGTCACAAACAAAAGTCACTTGACTGATTGAACATTTTAAGATATAATTTTAAGATATAATTTAAATTAAAATATTAAATATCTAATAAAATGAAAAAGAATTCAAATCAAATATTTGTATGAAAACATCCTTAAAAGCAACCAATTGTATTACGAATTTAAGATTCATCCGATTGATAGTCCACAAAGAACAAATATCAATCAATTTTACGATAAATTATTGGTTTATTTAAAAGAACCAACATTACTATTATTTCTGGAATAGTACGATTTCATTATTGATTCTGGCTAGCTTTGCAGAAGCGCATTCTGCTAACATAGTTTTCCAAGACCTTGGTGACAGTTTCGGGCTCTATCTCACGAAAGGCGACATTGAAATGTGTGATATATAGAATTTAAAGTTGAATACAAAGCGCGAAACTAAAGCGCCTCCAGATAATCATCATCATTCATCAGGTCAACATGCTTTTAATTTATTATTCGAGAAGTGCATAGAGTCTATCACATCTTCTGGTATATGGACCACAGGATCTGTCAATTCCACACCGAATAAAAACTCTATCAGCGATTTGGGTGTCAAATACAGTCACCACGATACATCCACAAGGGGAATAATATTGAAATTCTAAAATAAAGAAATCGGTGAGCACGCTTCTAATTCAGCCCCGAGAGTCTTGGATTGGGTGCGCAAGATTTTATGAGTAGAGTGGAAAAATTAAGTTAGAATTTTCAATCAGATTTCCGAAAGATACATGAAATTGTTTTTCTCAATTAATTACCAATTGTTTGCAAATAAAACAAGAGAGAACGCTACAGTCGAGAAAGCCCGACAGTGTAATACCCTGTACCCAGGTAAACTTCCGTCACTGAGTTATATGCACCCATAGCAGCAGCAAAAAGAGGAAGAAGAAGAGCGAACTTGTTGCTGCAGTTTGTGGGGTTGTACTGGCGAGAATTTGTTTCGCTAATAACTTTTCTTAGAATTGACCGAATTGAATAAAATTTTAAACAACAGTAGATATTTATTTATAAATTATGTGTGCAAAGTTTGGTTGAGGTAGCATTTGAAATGTGAACGCTATTGACGAAATTCTGCAGCGGGGGAAGGGGGGGAAAATTAAAAAAAAAAATAAACTCGTCCTTACTCGGATCTAGGAGAATCTGGATGCCAACTTTGGTTATTCTAGCTTTTATAGTTTCTGAGATCCTCGCGTTCATCCAGACGGACAGACGGACGGACATGTCTAGATCGATTTCTCTCGTCATGCTGATCAAGAATATATACTTTATGGGGTCGGAGATGCTTCCTTCTGTATGTTACATACTTTGCACAAACCTAATATACCCTTTTTACCCTACGGGTACAGGGTATAAAAACATACCATTTATTTTTATTTTTATTGAATTTGATTTTTGTTTTAGGACTGTTTACTTTTAATTATTTTTTTCTTAATTCTTTATTAGTGGTCTTCACTGTAATGAAGTCTGCATTTATTCGATTTTGTATATGATAAGTCGCATGTCAAATTTGCGCTAGTCGGACAAATGCACGCCCATTATTTACACAAGGAACATTGTATACATAGTGGACCTTGTGCAAGGATCACAACCCAACTGTTGCTTGGAAAACTTTTGCATTTGCTGCACGCAATTAATTTTAAATATTTCACAATTTGGTGAAATTTTTAACTACTCGTGCCACCATCCTGTGTTTTTTTTATTTAGTAAGGCTGCCGTAAATAATTGTTTGTCCCCTTGTGTTGTCCTCAACAGGCGCCTGGGGAAAATTTGCATTATGAAAGTAAATGGAAAATATATTTCAGGCCATTCGTGGGTCGTAAATTTCACATATTTGGCATTCTACTTGTAGCATAACTAAGATTTAAATGGAAATATATTTTAGGCATGCAAATAATTAAAGTTGGTTGATTAAATTAATTAAAAGTTGAAAATAGCAACGTTGAAGAATTTTCGCTGTTTTACATAATGTTAAGTTACTTAAACTATTGAGCAACATGAAGTTGGAGGAAATCTGTCTCATGCCATATAATATAAAATGTAGCACGGAATGACTCTTCATGAATCCAGAGCCATGTAAAATATTTTGTCATTTCGCGTATACGTAATATTCATTCATAAAGGTAAGGGATACGAGTAGAAAACAGACAGGGATATGCAAATAAAAGAACAATATGTGTCAAACAAAACACAGTCCACTTATATATGTACACACACACTTATACACAATACACACATGTAAAATAAACAAAGAGTATGGGAAGCCTTTTCAATTTTCATATTAATCCCCACAACAACTTCAACAAATACACTTGGCTACCCCTGAGCCAAAACACAATGCGCGAAAAACCACAGGGTCTGAGAAGATGGCAGACAAACAGAACCTCAGGTAAAAATATAGAAAAACAACAGAGGCCAGATATTTATTTTGTACATGATATGAATATTACAAAAAATAAAAAAATACAAAAAAGAAGAGAAAAGTAGTGACAAAAAAATTGCACATTTCCCCAATGTGAAACATTTCCTCACAATTTCATTCAATTCACTTGCCATATTTATGCGAATACTGATGCAAAAGGATACACACACACACACGTACTTACTTTTGTATGAGGTATGTGCGTGTGTGTATGGGGATTTTTGTTATTTGTACGGGTACCTGTGTGGCTTCACCTTCAATATACATTTGGGCTTTTTCCATCTATTTGCCAATTTTCATGTATAGTATATAGTATATATGCTTATATTTGTATTTACATGTTCCCTTATTTTCCAGACGCTGCGCGAATTTCCCGAGGAGCTGCGAGGCGACGTCTCCATGCATCTACATCGTGAAATATTACAGTTACCCATATTCGAGGCGGCCTCACAGGTGCGTGAAAATCGATTTTGTTATTCGGTGCTTTGCGTTTGGCGATTTAAAAGCGATTCGGCTCAGTGAATGGTGGCGAATGAGCGGCAAAGCGCAGCAGCGGCAGAGAAAGTGTCACGCAAAAGTCAACTGCGGACCAACATGAGTGTTTACTTTCTCTTTAAGTCTGAGTTGGGTAATGGAATGTGTTTGGCTATGTGAGTGTGTGTGTCTATGTCCTTACAGTTGACGGCTTCGTCATAGTTTCAACCACTCGTCCAAATGGAAAATGACTTTCAAACACACTCATGAACCTGGCTACAGGTAAACTTTTTGACACACTAAATTTATGTGCGAATGTGGGGCCCAAAGCTGTTTGGCTTGAGTAGTTGGAGCGTATAAATAAAGTTTTTATTTTTTTTACCCAAAACTTGTCTTGTGGATGTGAAAGTAATGCACATAAAATGTGGGGAGCCGAAGGGTCAATACCCATGTCACTTGAATGCCAAACTCTGCAGGAACTGCAGCTCTTCGTCACGTAGGGATGAGGAAAATCATTTTGGCAAGGTGTTAAAAGTTAATCGGCCTTTGGCATTAACTGTTTGGCTAGAGTAATTGATTTTGCAATTAAGCTGAAGGTTGATTTCCGTATATGAAAACTGGCAGGTTGTTGGTAGAAAGCTCTGCAGGGGGCGAATGTGGAGTGCTTAGTGGATTATCGACTTGGGTTGGTCTGCAAAGTGCTTGTGGCTAATAATCTTTTGCCAAGCTGTGGCTTCCAGCTCATAAGGCAAAATAATAGAATAAGCGTTCAGACGAGATGGATGGAGATATAAGTTTGGAGGTTGCTTCACTCGATAATGAGTATATGAGAAAATTAAGACGTTGCAGGATTCTGTTCTGTATGTATTATACCATATATTTTATTTTGTGGTAAGAAAAGTAAATTACCTATACTTTAATTACGATGGTATAAACGAATTTTAAATTATATATTTGAAGCACAAAAGTTGTGAGCGATGGACTTATAATAATTTCTATCACAAGCCCTGGTAGTCCTCAAAATGATATTGATTTGAATAGTATAAATAAGTGCATAAATGTTTTTGTTTCTTTTTATTCAGTTAATTCAAAAAAATAGTTGTATATTTTGACAAAATATTTGTTAAGTATTTTTAGGCGTGACTTTAAAAATTTTCGCTAGCACTTAGTAAGCTAAGCTATTTATTTAAAGCTTTGTTTGTGAAAAGTAGATTAATGCAGCAGCTTAAAAGTGACAAAAAGACGAGCCACAAAACAAAACAATGGCAAATAATAACAACGCGCAACATTTTTTATTGAAAGGGCAAGCAAATGCAAACAAAAACCACTTAACAAGCATAAGCGGGCTTTAAGCCACTTTTCGAAAACCAACTGAACAAGCGGGTAGACGTTGGCCAGACCAAAACATGACCTAGCACAGCTGTGTCGACACGTCTATATGCTTTATGCCGTCATTTTGTTTTATGGGAGCAGCCGACAACCGATGCGCTTAACGCTCTTGCAGGGCCAACTCTAGAAATCTGAAATTGTACAATATACAATATATAGTACATACCCGTATATAATCGTCACTTATATTTGTGTTGTTGTTGTTGTTGCTGTTTGGCCTCATTTAGGGCTGCCTGAAACTGCTCTCCTTGCACATCAAGACAAACTTTTGCGCGCCCGGCGAATATCTAATACACAAAGGCGATGCGCTCAACTATATTTATTATCTGTGCAACGGTTCCATGGAAGTTATCAAGGACGATATGGTTGTGGCCATTTTGGGTAAGTTTGCTAAGCACTTAAATGTTAAAGTACTTTTTGTTTATTTCTCTAAATACGAATAGGAATACGAATACGCACTGAGTTCAATGAACCAGCAGTTCGTTCGCTTATACCCATATACTTGTACTATATATGTACTCGTATTGTGCAGCTGCTTATTTATTCATTCCAGTCAGGAGCTGCGGCTGTCATCAACGTTGTCTCTGCCTAGACAAATAGTAGCTATTTTTATGCTTATTGATTCTTTGTTTTTGTGCCTCGGTCCGACCTGAAAAGAGAATAGGCCCGCCCCATTCCATTCTGTAAACATAAACATAATAAAAATGCTCTATGCTGACCTTTCGCTTTCCGTTAAATGCTTTCTACAGGTAAAGGTGATCTGGTTGGCTCCGACATAAATGTGCATCTGGTTGCCACCAGCAATGGACAAATGACGGCCACAACAAACAGCGCAGGACAGGATGTTGTGGTGAGGAGCAGTAGTGACATAAAGGTGCGTAAATGCTCTTTAGTATTCAAATGCTGACGCAGCTTGCGTGCTAGCGTTGATGTGGGTTTTTGCTTTATGGTATATGTGCGTGTGTGTGGGTGTGTGGGTGTGTGTGGGTGTGTATCAGCCCACTCGTGCGATATCAAATAGAATGCCCTGTAATTAAATAGAATTTATTTTCGTTTTTATATGCAAGAATGCCAGAAGTGCACTTTAATTATTTTTTATAGCAGCATCAAGGGGTCTGTTTGTATACTCTGCTCGCTCCTTAAAGCTCAAAGGGACTTTAAGGTGACTGCACTGGCTGTTATTCGGTATTGTCGTTAAATTTAAGGCAAATATCGCGTACATGTTTCGCGTGTGGAGCATTTGCCGTACAGCGACACGCCCAGAAAACTACCGTCTTTCTAGACAGTTACGTGAAGAAAGAAAGACACCTAGGGGTCTCTCAATTCTCCTTGACTGCACAATATTTGCGTCTCACGGCGTTTGTTTCGCTTGGCGCGTCCATATACTTTTATTTGAATTTAATATAGCGCCAAACAACGATGCCATTGCACCCTCGAACACAAAAGCCAATGAGCCCTAAGTGCTTGTTTGTGACGTGGTATGTATGTGTTGTGTGCATGTGATTATGTGTGTGTGTGTGTGTGTGTGTGTGAGTGTGCGTGGCTCTAATTAAAGCAATAATGTTTTCTGCTTTTCAGTTTGAAGAGGCTTAACGCATAATTAATTCGTTGAAAATGTTTTTGGCAATGCCAATTGTTATGCACACCACAGACACGTTCTTGTGTCTTGCCGCAAAATTATGAATATTTAATTGCATTCATATTTTACAAATTAATGATCCCTTAAATAGTTCAAAGTCCTTAAATATGCACGGTTTTTAATGCTATGATAGATATTTTTCATTCATCTGTGGATAGATAATTAATCTTTGTATTGTGTTTTTCTTAATACATGCAGTTTTTTTAAAAATTTTATATTAGTAATTGAATTATGTAACTATTTTAATTTAATGAATTAAAATTGTACATGGGACTAGAATATATGTATTAGGTTAAGATAAACAGGTGGACTATTGTTGGCAGTCCCATATCACACCAGATTAGTGCTTAGCGTTGCCGTATGTTGGAAATCAATTGGGAAGGCGGTTTATTAACCCGGAAGCATTTTTTTGTGTGTTGGGGGAGCACTTTGCTTCTGAGTAGGCCAGACTTCCTTTCACTGGAGTTGCAGGAGGAATCGGAAGAGTTTTTGGTCTCCACCCTTGCGACTTGCTCGATTTTGCAGTTGGCAGTAATTTTCTGTTTACCAGCTTCTTTGCAGAGCTAATGCTCTCATCTACTGGGGAGCGCTCTAATTAATATAGGTATGTAGTCCATCTAGGCTAGCTTTGTTCCACTGCCAGAGTGTTCCTCATCTTGTTGCGCCGGTGGCCGGGAATCCATTAAATGTGCACCGTTTTCTCGGCGCTTAGCACATCTATCGCCAGCCGGTTCCGCAGAATAGTGTTTGAGCAGATGATGGACGCCTGCAAGAATCTTATAGCTGTAGAACGTTCTCCGCAGCTTGTGGCGAAGGCGGGGTCTTGGAAGATACTACAGCAGTCAGGTAACTTAAACTGCTATTCAAGTTCAGGATCAGGGCAGGGCCTTCAGTGCGTGTTAGTTCAGTCCCCTACACTATCCATCTGGTCCCATGGATGTTTATGGAGCAGTGCACCTTATAGGGCAAATATAATAACATCATTTCAATTCAAGTTTTTAAGGGTGAAGATGGTAGAGGCTTAAATGCTGCTTATCCTGTTTTATATGTATCTTTTCGAAAAATATTTAAGCAAGAATAATTATTTGGGAACTTAATGTAAAAGTTAAATTCTGCTAAGTTTTAAACTACATGTATGTTTAGATTCATAATAATGAGTTTTTTATTTAAGTTTTCTTTTTTGGAAAATTGTCTTTGCATATTCCGCTAAATCACTTATTACTTTCGAATTAATTTGTTTTAGTGAAAAATGCTTGTCAAATGCTTTAATCACATGAAATTGGAAGAAATCTTTAAAAGAATATTGGTATTTACATAAAATTGCTCATTTTTTATGTGTTGCTTCAATTTAAAAGTCAGGTACGCTTTGGCATTTTGAAAAGTAATGAATTTATAGACACGAAAAGAAAATGGCTTTGGTCTAGCGTTCATAAATGAAAATACCAATTCTGAGGGCAGTAGCATCAGCATTGTGTATCAATTTTTTGTTGCCTGCTTGTGTCTTACTTTTTGCTGGCATGTGTCTGCCATGACAAGTGTCGCACTTAAAGAGCAGACATGTTAATATATGCTCAAGCGAACACCAGCCGGTAAAGTTGCAGCGCCCACTTTATGTTAACAAGAAATGCCAACAACGGCGACAACAACAACTACAAGCGAGGACTACGGGGCGTATGAGTGCTGCTTCAGCATATAAACGTGTGTTTGCATGCGTTTGCGCACATTTTAGTATGCGCGTGTGTAAATAAACACAAGCACTTCGTTTTAAACGCCAAGATGGCGCACTTGAATTTGTAAAGATGAAGACGAAGCCATGGTGTCAAGGCGGCGTGTAGAAATGTGTAAACGAACCTATGTTAAATGCTCTTCGAAAATATTTTATGAATGAAGTATTGTATGCTATAGCTAATGAAATTGATCTGATGATGTGATGATATTTCTGACTTGTGCCATAATTTCTGTAAAATAATATGCTTTCCTCTTGAATTGGGTGTGCTTTTAAGCAGAGATATAATGAAATTGTGTTGAACTAGACCATAAGATTGTTTCCGTTCAAATTAGTATCTAAGAGAGTGTCCGTTAAGTCGTTATGTAATAACCAGTCGTTGAAAGGGTATAAAAAGTGCATGCACACCCAACGACCTACCCAACCCACCTTCGTTCTCTTTGAGTGCATAATCGCTTAAGCTTAATGCCTTTGACTTACTTTTGCAGGCACTCACCTACTGCGACTTGAAGTGCATCCACATGGGCGGTCTGGTGGAAGTGCTGCGCTTGTATCCGGAATATCAGCAGCAGTTTGCCAACGACATTCAACACGATTTGACCTTTAATCTGCGCGAAGGCTACGAGAACCAGGACTCAGACATTGGACCATCATTTCCGTTGCCCAGCATTAGTGAGGACGATGAAAACCGTGAAGAAGCTGAGGGTAGTGAGGTGGACAAAGAAATTGGCACAGCAGGCGGAGCCGCCTCAACGACAGCCTCGCCACATCACAGCATCAATTCGCCCTCACCGTTGCATGCCCGTTCCCCACTTCTCGGCATGAATAGCCCCCGGCACCAGCGACTGCATCAGCGTGGACGCTTCTTGATTACAATGCGCGAGACTGGAGGAAATAGGCGTCAGCGTACCTTGAATGCCGCCAGCAGCTTGGACCGTGGTTCTTTTGAGGAGACCGAAGCCGAGGAGGACCCGGCAGCACCCACCAAGCGACCCTCACTGGAGCGTCTCGACTCGCAAGTCTCCACTTTGCATCAGGATGTCGCCCAACTAAGTGTTGAGGTGCGCAACGCCATAACAGCACTGCAGGAGATGACATACTCGACAGCTGTAACGCCCCAAATGTCGCATAAATTCGCACCCGCCCGGTCCATACCCAACATCAGTGGAGCGGCCGCCATGCGCAGTGGCATGGGCAGCGTAGACGTCGTCAACCGTGGCATGAACGTGGGAATGCCCGGCACGGAGGTAGCCGCAGCCATGCAGCGCAGCTCCTCTCATCCACCGGAGATTTGGGGACGCGAATTGCATTTACCCGTTGGCGATGTGGCGAATAGTGCACCCAGCTCCAAGGCTGCTTCACCGGCCAGCTTTGAAACAGAAAAACGTACACGCAGCTGTCAGACGGACTTCTATCGCATTGATTTTCCCACCTTTGAGCGCTTTGTGCTGGCCAATCCGCGTCTTGTATTGGGTCTTTTGGGCATTGAGCCCGCCATCAAGACCGAAATGGAGCTGTTGCAGCAGAAGCAGACCTTACAAATATCACCACTGAATACCATAGATGAGTGCGCTTCGCCGGCAGACCCCACGCTGTGCAGCTCCAAGGAGCATCTGTTGGACACCCAATCCCGAGCACGAACTTATCCGCCATTGGATGATGAGAACTCAAATGATTTTCGCTGGACTATGAAACATTCCAGCAGCCAGCAGAGCTGCTGCAAAAGCACAGACACATTAGTGACTTTGGATGAGCAGGCACCACCGCCACCACCATCCACCATAGCCGTAGACTTGAATGCCAGCAATTATCCACAGCAGCAACAGGTTCAGCAGCAGCAGCAGCAGCAGCAACAACATCATCATCAGCAGCAGGTGCCGGAGCAACGCATGCATAAGCGGTCCCATTTGCGTCGCAGTGGCAGTGCCAGTGGAAGCAGCGGCAGCGGCAGCGGCAGTGGAGGGCAACTACACCATAGTAATTCCAGCCTGTCCAGTAGCTCGAGCTCCAACTATATTGTTTCGCAGAGCACGGGCAATTTGGCCACCACATCGGCGGCAGTGCATTGCAGTAATAGCGGCAATAGCATGACGGGTATGACGAACACGCGGCGCGCCTCTTGGAAGCTGCACCACTCACGCAGTGGGGAGTATCGACGTTTGTCGGAAGCCACCGCCGAGTACTCGCCACCAGCCAAGACACCTGCTCCATCCGCCAACACTTATGGACGAGATGAGGAGGAGAGTGTAGAGCTTTTGGGTTCGCGGCGGGGCTCACGTACAAGTGTTGGCGGTGGTGGTGGTGTTGGTGGTGGAGGTGGTGGAGGTGGAGGTGGGGGTGGAAGCGGGGGTGGAGGCAGTGTGGGAGGTATCATAGATGGGAAGTGCCCTGTTGCAACCACTGTTGCAGTTGCAAAGTCCAGCATCAACAGCAAGCGCGGCGTGTGTGCGACCACGCGCGTGTTGTTAGGTGTTAGTAGCGCATCGCAGGCCCAAGGACAGGCCCTGAATTTCCGCTTTTCAGCCGGCGATGCCGACAAATTAGAGAAGGGACTGCGTGGGCTGCCCTCCACGCGTTCGTTGCGCGATCCCAGCCTTAAATAAGGGGGTTGTGGCGAGCTGCATTTTTTGTTAGGACATTGTTTTCAATTGGGGTTTCGGGTTTTGTTTTAGTAGCTGGCATTTCTGTGTGGCTATAGATGCATGGATAGGCTGTTTGTGTATGTGTGTGTGTGTGTGTGTGTGTGTGTGTGTGTGTGTGTGGGTCTGAATGATGGTGGATGGATGTGGATGGCTACCAGCTACACGTATATATATCTCTATTTACACACGCCACCATGCGTGATTTATTTCCTAATTAATACTGAAATACGAAGACGCTTGTACTTTTAATATCTTTAAGATACACACCTACGTACATATTGTTCTAATTTGGTTGTTATTTCTATGCAATTAAGTTTGTTTTATAGTTATAAGCTGAGAAGAGTCAAACTATAGTTATTGAGTTGCTCATCCATTGAATTTTAAAGTGCAACACAAAACAAAAACCAATATTAAAAAGGGAAAATTTAAATCAATAATCATATGGGAATGCTAAATTTAAATAATACATATTTTAAGGCATATCAGAGCAGAATCTATTTTTGTAACTGAAACGAGTATTGAAATGTAACTCAGAGTGCAAACTAATTTGCTCTTATCATGTGAATGTGAGGCTGTCAACAGGAAGTGCAAAACTCGAACTGGGAATGAATTTTACAAAACATGTGTGAAGGTCTATTTTACAAGGGGAATAGAAGAAGGAAATACATACTATACATACATGTTGCAAAATAAATATATCAAATAAAATATACATACCTACATATTAACCATATACAACCAAATAAATACATACTATCAGTGTATCAATTATGCACTACAACCAATTATATATCAATGTTATTTGTGAATTACAGAATTTCAGTGTATTTAGATGTCACAAAGAAAAGATTACATTATTGTGCAGTCAAATAAGATTTAAAGAAATCTGAGCAAATCATTAATACTAATGTTTAAATAAACAGACATTTCCCCACATCTGAAATACATTGAAACTACTTTTCACATCTGCAAAGAAAAATTTAAAAAAAAAAATACAATTTTTGAACGACGAGTTTGTGGAATGACAGTTTTCTAAACACAAACCAAAAATGTTCAATGCATCAAAGTCAAGTTATAAGCAAAAGAGGAACTTAAAGTTAAGCTAAATAAATGAGCAGAACATGAAGTCAAAGCATAAACTCGCAGCTAAAGTCTTCAAAATATTACAATTAGAGCGCCAAAAATATGTAACAAACAATTTTGAACAAAAAAGTTGTAATAATTACAGCCAGGTGAATACGTTCTAACACAAAGCTACAACATAAATATTACTTCCCATTTTAAACGACATAATAAAAATGGGTTTCAATAAAAATACCAACATGTTTTTTTGACAGAGAGTGTAAGAATGGTGTTACAATAAAAAAGAAAGATAATTAAAATGAAAACGCGATTACAATTTATTGCAGGAATATTGACATTCATTAAGTCAATAAATGTACAATTCCAGCTACGCTCTAAAGTTTAAAGTCATGCCATTTGTATTTTTATAGAAAGGATGGAAAGGGAGCATTTAAAAAAGCTAGCACTGGCTGAGCAGACATGAAATGATATCGGATTGAATTAAATGCAGTTTCAGGAAAAGGAAATGCCTGCCCGATAAATATGCCATCACAACAGCAGATGGCAAGAAGGAGAAAATATGATTGCAAAGTGGTTTTCAATGACAATCGTGTATACTAAAGCTATGCACTTGTAAGATATGCAAGGTGAACTTCCCACAGAATACCTTTGTGCTGGGTTCGATGATTATAAATAGAAATTTGTGATGCCATGCAAAATATTGTATGCAAATGATGAGATATGAGTTGACGGAATATTTTTTCATAGAAATATCGAGTAGTGTATGAAAATGCAAATGGGAAAGCAGACAAAATGAAAATAAATGAAAAAAGTGTTTAAATTAGCATTAAGTTGAAAGGTTTATGTGTAATTGTTTTAAGGTTATAATTATAAATCAAAAGAACTCTGTAAACTTCAAGTGGTGTCTACATGCAAAATCACAGAATGTGTGTGTGCATGTATGTACTTGTAGCTATACATATGTAAATGTTCCCAACAACTATAAAGACTTGTGCTTCAATCTATCTTTGATGTAAGCATTCTATGATAATAAGTGTATAAGTATGTGACTTTTATATGTGGCAAATGTTTTAAAAAATGAATACATGTTTTTGAAAATAAGCAGAATTTATTGTAAAGTAGTCAAACCGTTTTGATTTCATGGGATATACTTATATATGTATGTTAAATTAGAAATATTTACTGGAAATGCAGCAAGTCAGGAGATTGGCCTGCCACGTGAATTGTAGAAGGCAGGTAATGTGAGGACTAAATCGAAGGAACTACTATGTATGAGAATTGCGGTTTTTAAATGTTTTAAATAATGTTACCTAAGGCTATTTACTTGTAGTTATATACTAAAAGTACAGCAAAATATTCAATATTTAAATAAAATAAAAGAAATTGATGTCAAACTCAAAAGCTGCATTTTATTTATTTTTTCACAATTTCTCTATACAAAGATTGAAAACTCTACCAATGAAAGCTGTTGTTTTTTGGTTTATTCAATACCAATGAAATATTTAAGGTTATCTTGTTTTGGGTATATACGTGTCTAATATCAAGCATGAAGAATTTTAGAGTTCATTAGAGGTACATTTATTATCTGCATGACGAGACGAATCCTGACTGACATAGAATATTTATTTATTTATCATTGATTGTTCACATAGAAGAACAATACTATATATAAAAGTTATAAAAATAATCTTATAAGCTGGGAAAGCCTAAGTAGGAGAAATTTAATCAAATTATAATAATATCTAATAAATAATAAGCAAATAATGAAGTATTTCGAGATCAACTATAGTATATCAGACTACTGGGGGGTGTGTGAGAAAGAAACACAATTTCATACATTTCGGCATTAGGTAATACGTTTGGTCATTGTAGCTCTTTTATTTTCCGAGACCCTATGTGGGTTTGTCACGCCTCCTGCTGTGTGGGCATAAAAATAAAATAATCTAGAAACTAGTCGTGGTATGTGAGTTTGGTTAATGTTTGTTTCCAAGCGGTTATGCGCGACGAGTATTTACTTAATAGGATCCGAAATGCGTCCTCTTGCTTTTTAGACCCATCGTACACAAGGCTAATATGAAGTTGTTATCTTTCAGGGCACAGGGTATTCTATAAAAATATTAAATCAGATTAGCACCCTTTTTTGATGTCAAGTGTAACGAAAGCTTTTCATATTTTTGACAGCTTCAGCTTTCATTATATTTTCAGTTGGTTTGTGTAAAAATATTTGATTTGTTCTAAATAGAAAAGTTGTTTAGCTTATAATTATTTGCATGAACCATTTAAGCTCACGAGCTTGGAGCTTTTTGAACACAATTTGTGAACAGCAAGTGCTAGCGCCAATGGCTTCCTGGAAAAGCTTTTCCAGGATTTTTTTGGTTGTCGTTTGTAGTTATTTGGGATATTTTGAGCTTTAGGTTTTGGGTTTAAGTCTTAATTTAAAGCCCTTTACTTTGATTCCGTTACACCGAGTGCGTTTTGCAATGTCTTCCCTTTTTGTGCAGCGTTTAAAGTTAATAAATTTAATGCAATTTTCTTTATGGTGTCACCTTGATTTTTTTTCTTTGTATGCTTTTATCTAATCGCATAGAAAGCACAGAAATCGTAATTGCATATTTTGACATAATTTACATAAAAAGCAGTTGGAGTTTCTGAAAAGTTTTTAATCTAACATTAAAACATTTAATAATTACAAAAGAAACTTTTCAAATTTACTGATAGATATATATATATAGATCCACTATGTATATAAACATTCATACACATTCGTAGATATATTTTCCATCTTGGTAGACAAAAACTTAAAGTATGGCAATTAGGTTAATAATTGCAAACTATTATCAAACTCATTGCCGCGATTTCAAGGCAATACTTGCTGTAGTTAGAAGAATGAGAATTCCATAATTTAGGAAAAATTGTATTTTGGTTCATTATGAGATTTTAATGCAACTACACTCAAATTTCTGTGCTGCTGCCAAAGTTGTGCAAGAGTTTCGGAGAAAGGAAAACGGAAAGCTACAGTTCGCATTTGCACAACTTTTTTGAATGCAATTTGATGTTTGAATTTTCAATGAAAATACTTAAACCACTTAATAAGCTTAGCTAAGTTGATGTTGTGCCTAATTTTTTGATGGCAATTAATGTTGCTTGGCCTAACCAATACTAAGGCGGGTGGTCTTACAATGCCAGCGATATTTGATATGGCTACTTAATGTATTGCCGTCGGTCACTGGCATTGTTTTAATCGGAATTGTTATTGCGAGCGCCGGACAAATTACAGACTGGTGTGCAGGCAAACGCCAAATGTGGCTTGTGTGTTAATTGCAATTGCACAAATTGGAGTTGGCCTGTCTGATATAGATTCGGAATTCGTACTATTGGTTGATCATTAAATGCATGTGCATTGTTATCCCTAATGCGATTGGTATTGTATTTTCCAAATTATGTATACAAATTACTAACTAGCAGCGGCTATGTGACGCTATAATACGAGTATGTATGCATCGGTATTGATACGGATATGTACTTATATACATACATGGGTTGGCTGTAACAGACCATGACCAGTCTATGTTGTTGGAATTCCTATTCTATTACACTGAGAAAAATGCAATCAATATAATGCTTCGTCAGAATTCATGCCTGTTAAAAGACACTGACTCACTATTCTGCGCAAAACACTTATTAAATAGTCTAATGCAGCCCAACTGGTATTTATAATAGAGAACTGCATTTTTTCATTGAGTTTAAATTTAACCAAACAAAATCAGAACAAATGGTATTTAATTATTTCATGTACAATTTTGGACAAATTCAAGTCAAATCGATCTAGAATTATTTATTTATCTATTTATCCCCAAGTGTATTGTTCACTATGCACT